AAGATATGCAATTTTCTTTTAGTTATCAAAATACATCTAATTTTATGTAATGTAACAGTATGTTTGGAGTAGAAGAATCAAATCCTGGATTCCACTGAATAAAGAATAATTTTATTGGTAGGAAGTGCTACTGGAAAATCATATGATAGAAAGCAATATAAAACAAAAATTAATATTGTGCAGAGATTTGATTTTTAGATATTCTTACTTAATTTAAAATGAATTTAAAAATTAAATTGAAATGAATTCAGCACTTTTTTGGCATTCAAACAATTAAGAAGCATATTTATAATATTCTCATTATTTAATATGATGCTAAATATAAAATATAAGTACTAACTGAAAAGAAATTAAAGCAATTTTATGCAACACAGAAGCAAATATATCTGTTTTCAAGAGAAGATAGGTTAAGTTATTTGAATATGGCAAAGTCACAAGGGCTATTTGCTCAAAAGGAGAGATGACTTTGTGAGGAAAACTGGTTTATATTCACATTAGACATAGAAAAACCATGAAAATCAACCATTGCAGCCAGCTTGTTTGCCTGGATTTGAACCAGATCAGGTCAAACTACCAGTATTTAATGGTCTTAACCACTTGGCTGCTGGACCCTTTTCAAGAAATAATTACAGGCAATCTGAAGAATTATAAAACTGTTACCTATCTATAAATCTGTTATCAATATGACAGCACTTCCATCAGCTTTAAGCATTTCATTATTAAGAATTATTAGAAATTAAAGCAATTTTATGCAAGACAGAAGCAAATATATCTGTTTTCAAGAGAAGATAGGCTAAGTTATTTGAATATGGCAAAGTCACAAGGGCTATTTGCTCAAAAGGAGAGATAACTTTGTGAGGAAAACTGGTTTATATTCACATTAGACATAGAAAAACCATGAAAACCAACCACTGCAGCCAGCTTGTTTGCCTGGATTTAAACCAGATCAGGTCAACTACTAGTATTTAATGGTCTTAACCACTTGGCTGCTGGACCCTTTTCAAGAAATAATTACAGGCAATCTGAAGAATTATAAATCTGTTACCAATATGACAGCACTTTCATCAGCTTTAAGCATTTCATACCATAATATATTTTTGAATTTTCATGACATAATCGGGACTATCAGTGAATAAAATCATTGAAAACTGGCAAATTACTCAATTTTGGTTCTTAGTGACTGCAAAGCTAGGTATACAACAGAACAAGCTTCAAATGCTTTAATTCTCTGTTCTAACCTAATCTTTCATGACAGAATAATGCTTATATTCAACATCAGAAAAATACTGACATTATGTTTAATGACTTCTATGATAATTCTGATGAGATTTTTAATTCCATTCTGATTTAAAACAAATGATTAAGAAAAAACTAAAATATAGATTTATAATTGTTTCAGATTTAAAAAAGATAAAAATGATGAAAAAAGTATTAATTAATATTCAAGGCTTGAGAAAATGACAAGACTAGTTATAGAAATACATTACAGAATGCAGATTAAGCCAATTCTACATGTATCAGCATATGAATAGGACAGAATATTTCCATGTATGCACAAAACAAAGACTAACCTTTTGGTTTCCACCTAACATAAACAAGCATGACTGGCTAAGTAAAATTTGATGGATGATTTGAGAAATAATACTTGTAAGTCACATATAAAAAATTGGTCCATATTTCGGGGGTTATTAGACTGATGATTAAATTCTTGACAACTGCTTTCATTCGAGGAATTCTAAAGGTATAAATATGAATGTTAAATAAGTGGTTCATAATTTGCATAGATAAGACTGGAAGATATGTGTTAAACTGGAATTTGTGAATATCTATAATTGAAAGATAATTCCTAGGTTCAAATTAGGTAAATGCTAGAGGTACAAGTATAGCTGTCAAAATAGTTCAAGATTAGCATAGATAAAATTGGTAGATACATGCATTATGTACAATTGAAATGCTTAAGTACTGATAACTGAAACAGAAATCATAAGTTGAAACTATGCAAATAAGAAAAGTTCACAGGATGAAACGAAAGGGTATCAATAAAGTGAAGCAATATAAAAAGAAGGTTGGGATATAGTAACAGAGAATTATATTCTCCAAAGTTGTCCTGAATCCATAGAAGCCTTTAAATGCAGGTAATTACAAGTGGGAGCAACCCATTTGTATAAAGAGGCACAGGACTGATCAAAGTGTGAGTTAATTCTGATCCCCTCCCCCCACATACAAACAAGAAACACATGGGTAAACTGATAAATATGAAAGCAATCTACTAAATGAGAAATGTAATCAGCTCTTGCCACAATTCCTTGCTCCTTCACGCAATAGTTTCTTATAGCATAGTATTCCACCACTATATTCCATACATTAAAAACATCTGGTAATTGCTAAAAATTACTCTGAATAATACAGAAATAAATAAATATATTTTTTTAAAAAACGTTTCCATAATCTGAATCCCCTATATGGCAGATTTGTTAATAATATTTTGAGTGTAGTACATATATAAGCGAATAAGTTAAGAAATAATTTATATCTTTCCCAAATACAACTGTCTGATGTTATCAATTAAAAGCCATTATAACATCTAAGAGATGCTTAGATAATTGGTACTTAATTTAGCATAATGTTTATGCCTTAAATTAATCTTATTATACTGAGTGCAAATGAAAGCAAAATTTAGCTCTAGTAAAAATTTAAGCTATATTAGAAATAAAAAGATGTAGTTTTTTTAATTCTAAACTTAAATTATATAAAAGTTTATCTAAGTTCTATTAATGTAAGTGAGGGATATGATCCATAAAAACATATGTCTTATACCATGACTTATAATTGCAGGGAAATGCAGAGGATTTGCTTAGCTTAAAACTGGTGGAATGCAATATCTCCCTCCTCAGAGGCTCTGATAACAGCTTTCTTTTGCTTTGGTTTTATATAAGCCTGATTTTCACTATTCCAGGCAAGGTTTTGAAAAGAAGTTACAAATTAACTGCTCTCTCTCTCTCTCTTTTTTCATTTTGATAAAAAGGATTAAGATTTGGGACCCAACTTTTATAGAACAGCAAGGAAAGTTGTGGGATTCAAATCTGCAGATCATTATACTCATTACACTCAAATATTAAAAGAGTGTGAAGTTCAACAAAATGCCACCATGAAAGCCATCGTAGAACACCACTTAGATTCAGAGTGACAGTTTTTTATATTCAATTACGGATTTTTGACTGCTGAAATGACCATTCCTGTTAGTTTCAATGAATTTGTAGGATAATCTCAGAGCTTGGATAGCTATTTAAGTTTTCATATGCCTTATTCATAATTTGTGTCTATTGATTATCTAATTAAATACAGAGTGATCTGTCACTATCTAACTCAATAGACAGCAATCCATTACTTTGAACTTCCACTAAAATCGCTGGCTTAGTTTTGTCCAGATCTCCATCAGCTTTCATGCTTCAAAAAAATGTTAAGTACATCAGATTAAAAAATGGCAACACGTCAAATGAAACTGCTATGACTTAGACATCCAGTGACAAGAAAAAATTAGGAAAACTTTGGCGAAAGTGCAAGAGACTACTAAAGAAAATTGATATTTAAAAAAAAATTACATTTTTGAAGAAACGTTTTTGATCCGATAGTTCTTGATGAAGAAAAATATAATGCTTATATCTCGCCAAATTTTCTGTTGGTTCAGTATGATTTTTTTCTTTTTTCAGAGGTAAAGGAAGTTCTGAAAAAATTAAGTGGATTGAAAAAGGCAATTTAATGATGTGGATAATATGCAAGAAAATATGTTGTTGCTCTGAATAATATTCCATGTCAAGAGTTCCAGAACCATTTACAAGTTTCCAGCAGTGGGCTTGGAAGTTGGAAAGGAAGTTTTCAAGGAGACTAAAATATGTAGTTATAAAGTATAATATAATTACTTTCAAATAACTCTGTTTATTTTGGTCTCCCTCAGCATATATATCTTCATAGTTTCAGCTGGATGGTAGAAATTGCTTAAGGAACATAACAAAGCAAAATCTATAAATCTAATGACATTTTGTGATATTGTATGTGTGATATTATTGAAATGTGTTAAATAAATTAGATAAATGCTTGTATAAATGAATGAATGAATGAACACTTATTCCATGGATATTCCAAATATAGATACTGACACAGGAAACTCATTACATATTCAGTTATACTGAGTAGAGTTCTGTCAATAATTAATGCATCAATTCATTGATTCTTTTTGCCTTTAGAAATGGACAAGTACCTACTAGCAAACATCATAACTTCAGTCATTCCACACTTAAATAAAGCATAGAACAATTAACAAAAATAAAATGCTTATTGCAATTTTGGTCATATTTCTTTCTAATTTTAATGACAGATGACAGTAAAAATGCTAATTATGTAACAATTAAAATCTGGTTGCCAGTGTATCTAAGTTAAAAGATTACTGGTGATGAAAAGCTATAAATAATTTAGTTTGATTTGAAGTCTACATTCTTTTATATAACACTACAACATCAAAGCTTATAATTAAATAAAAAATTCAATTTAACAAAAGCAACAAATATATCAACAAATAAGTGAAATTAGAATGAAAAAGATTTAAAATCTGTAGGTATTATCAAATAAATTTTGAGAGTCTGAACTAAAACTATTTCAGACAAATTTACAAATATCTTATTTTTTTAACTAAGCATGTCAACAAAGAATACTTTTTAACTGAGTGGATTTAAATTATTAAAAAAGCTACATTTTAACGTTTAATATATTTATTAAATATCATTTAAATTACAACAGTACTCAAAAATCAATGTGTCAATACCTATAACAACGAACAACAATCACATATGTATGTATGATAAAGAAAATTTGTTTTTCGCTAAAGAATTAAAAAAAAAAAAAAATATTAGTACAACTAATATTCACTTTTCAATTTCATTTTGTCAACAATATTTGCACAATAAGAGGAAGGTAGAGGAAAAATTCATAGAAAAAGAACAAGGGAAAATAGTATTAGAAATTTATTACACATGCATGTTTAAAAATCATGCATACATTTGATAAAGATGGTAAATACATGTATTAATAAGAAAAGTTCATTTCAAAACCGTACTATTAATTCTACATCAAAAATGATCCCATAGAAACCTGTTCTTCAGTCTAAATTTACAAAAAAAAAAAAAAAAAAAAAACCCATATAAGAATATATGTAAAGACATACAAAAGTAATAATAATAATAACAATATTAAAACAAAAAGGAAAACAGTCAGGAGAGGAATTAATATTATACCACCTGCTCACCAATCAGCCATTACTGAATAACATCTGTATACATGAAAGGGTGCCTGAATTCAGATCAGTTGATTTCTTAAATTGTTCGCATCAAATGACGTATCACTTCCTCCAAAATGATATTCGAATAGATATGATATATGACATAAAAATGATCTGCTTTGTAGTGTGAAATTATCAAGTTTGTGTTTCTTGAGAGCATACCACCCAAAGAAATGCATTAAAGATTGCAGATGTTAATGGGGAGGCAAATGCCCCAGATAAAAACAGCACACAGAGTTATTCTACTGTTTTAAGCATGATGACTGGAATATCATCAAGCATCATGGAAGTGATCACAGAAGTGAATCTGAAGATGTTGTTGTAGAAATACACAATAATGGTACAATATAAACTGAGCAAAAGGCAGTATATGGAAATTACTGTTAAAAAAAAAAGTCAGCCCATAAGAAAAATGGAAGTCACCTGAAACGCAATGCAGAGACATAGATCAGTATGCTCAGTTGTTACTTGTTAACGATGCCACACCATATTGATATTTGGTTCTAAGGATCTGGATGAACATCTGCAAGATTGAATGTTGATCCAATCCTAGTATTTCCAAATCTGATTCCATGAGATTATAGATGTTTTCATCAGTTAAAAATGTGAAGTGGTGACGCACATATTCCAGTATCCATATACCATATGTAGCCTTTGATAAGGAAATTTAGGACAGGAACCAGTGTCGATAGAACTGGATGTTTGAAAACAGTCAGGCAATTGACATAGCTGATGTGAATGGATCATACTTGTATTATAATAGTAAGGCCAAGCCTATCATTTCAGTGCTTTCATTACTATTGCATTAAACATGTCAACAGGTTTTTAATCTGGATGATATAATAAAATTTTCACCTAACTTAGAAACTAATGTCTTGCAATAGTGTAACATTTATTATGATATATTATACTGGTTGGCAAAGAATGACATACAGGGTGAAACTAATAGCTTAGAGCAGTGATTCTCAACTGGCGGTATGCAAGAGAAAAATAGGTGGTACATTAAGAAACAAAGTATTTTTAACTATTAAATTAAAATATTAAATACCCCAATATCCTCAAATTTTCACAGTGTGAAAATTTGAAAATACAATGCTGATTTTTGTTGTTTGACTTCTAAATTAATACTTGTTTGGCATGTTGTTATATTTTTAATTACCCAATATCCTGTTTAAGTTTTTACTCTAACACTTATAAATGTATGAGATCTAAGCTTTGTTCAAGGTCAATAGCTCATAGATTTAAGTGGAAGAATCAATTCTTGTTTTTTACAAGTGTTTTTTTTAGCCATAGACATAACAAAATTTGTCATAAATGATGTTTTGAAAAGGAGTAATGGAAATGGATGCTTTAGTTAATAGGGAATAAAAATAAGTTCCTATAAGAAGATAACAGATCTCATTAATTCTTTTAGAGTTAATCAATTTATTAGCTTATCTACACTTCACTTTCACCATTTCTGGGATCATATTGCTGTATTTTCTATTAGAATCATTTTTTTACGTCAATTTGCTGTCTCAGGAGGTATTTTGTCATCTTGTTGCTTTGCATTCCTTATTTTTCTATGCAATTTGGGAATATTATCATTTGTTTTGAAGAACTCGCAATATACTATGTGTTTAAATATTTGTGAAAAAATAAGAAAACGAACTTAGATTTTCAAAATTGAAAACATGCGAGGATTGGCTAAGCAGAAAAGTGATGATTCATAGGTGATGGATCCAGGACAATTTACTGACACTAAGAATATTGAAAAGAAAAATTGTTTATAGAAAATATAAAGAAAGTTATTTATCATTTGGGTTTACTTGGAATGCAGATGAAATGGACCCTCAACCTCTATGCATTGTTTGCACGGTGAACTTTTATCCTATCAAAGTATGAAACCATTGTTTCTTAAAAGATATCTTGAATCTATGCATGCAATTTAAAGGATAAATATGAAGAATATTTTTAAAAGAAACTATTGGAGCTCAAAAATAGTAACCAGTAATGAAAGGTTTTGTTACTTCAAAGGAAAAAGCTTTGGAAACTAGTAACCGAGTAAGCTTAAGAATTGCAGAGTCTGGACAGGCTCACAATATTGAAGAAAACCTTATATTACTAAGCAACTAAAGATATCGTTTTAACATTATTCAACTGAAAAAGAGGCTAATGAACTTAATGATATTCCATTACCAAATGATACAGTAAGCTGATGAATTCATGAAATAGCAAATTCTGTAAAAAAGAGATTTATTCAAAAAAACAAAACACAGTATTTTGCATTGAAGGACAGATTTTTTACACTTGACACTTAATGCTCGACTTTTGCTTGCTCTTGCAAGCTATGTTTCAGACTTCTGGAAGGCTGATTGGCTTCACGGCGAAACTATGGGGGCCGTTCGCCCAAATGGCCTTGCAAGACTTCACGGACATTAAATTTTAATCTACTCGACCACTAAATCATGGCCAATAGTAGGTTCCTGCTTAGTTAAATTAATCTACTGGTTCCAGATTCACTTTTCGATCAACTTACAGCTACAATGGTCCGACTTACAGTCAAATGTCTTCTAAATTCGAATTGTGCTCCTAAGAGTTCTCTCTATTATACAAGAAATGTGAGCAGGGGATTGCCACTTGTCCCAGAAGAGGTCTGGAGGATGTTTTGATCTTTGGTGTCTTTACTGGTGAGCGTCTTCAATAACTGAGGTAGACCTGCGCCTGATACTTGTCATCATGATGTCTCAAAGGCCACTTGTCATCGAAGATGTCTTTAACTGTCATCTAAGATGTCCTTAAAGATACTGGTCATCGAAGTTATCATTAAGTCTGCATATCATCTAAGCGTAACTCTAGAACTTTTCGGTTCCTCTCATCAGCATTCTGTCCGGTTGTTCCAGCTCCTGGCTTAACGTTGATCCTGTTTCCGGATAACCCAGGCTTCATATCAACGAATCAGCTAAGTCCACCTTTATGAAAACTCTAGTTTGTTAAATCCTAATTAATTAATTCTCACCTTAATTTTTCTTCTGAACAATTTGATTTCCATCGAATTTTAGACACATTAATTTTGTTCTCAACTCTTGTACGCGTTCAGAAGATTATTATGTAGGAAGTACTAATGTAATATCCTTTTTGAAAAGGCTTATAAACCAAATAGTTTGCTACTATTATAGAGCTGTAGTTGGATCCAAAATTGAATAGTTTCTTAATCCCAAATCTTAATAATTACCCAATTTGTTTTAATTCTTAAGAGTTAAGAAATGTTAGCTAATTTTTTTTTTTTTTTTTTGTTTTCGTATAACTTTAGGAATTAAAATATTTTGTTAAAATTAATTATTAGTAAAGTCTCCTAGCTAGGAATTTCGTTAAAAGTTGTTTTTTTATTGATGTTTATGTGCAATATGTTGAAAAATAAGTGTTTAACAAAAGTTATCAAATAACCTGTATGAAGATAATTCAACTATATAATTAAGAAAGTGAAATAGGAATAGATTTCGGTGATAAAATGTTAAACTTAATAGAAATGGAATGTGCAATATATATCCTACGATGGGTTCCTTTTTGATTTTTCCTGGGTACAAATCAATATTTTTTCTTTATTTTATTATTCAATATTTTCTCAGTATCATTTTAATGATTTTAAATTTACATGATTTTTCTCTTTATAAATAAATGTCATGTTTCATTGGAATAATTATTTGTATGTTTTATTTTACCTTACACATGACTTTTTTCACCAGTACACCCTTAAATTTGAATTAGGAGTTGTTCGGTTAAATACACAACACAAATGAAATAGATTAGTTGGTCTGGATTAGGTTGTGAGGAAAATTTATTGTGTTTAGTGTCTTTCTAAAAAGGCACGTAACAATATGAAAGTACTGATATAATGAACTTTGTTAAATTATTAGTTACGAATGTTTTGAAGAAGATAAATGAGTTTTCAAAGGGTATTTATTATGTCAATCTCTTCATGATAGACCAACTGCGAATAACATTTTCCAAGTAATTGACAATATTATGTCTGAGAATGTTATTCCTTGGAATAAGTGCATTCCCATGCAGCGATGGAGCACGGGCCGGTGTTGTTTCTCAAATAAAGAAAACTGCACTTGAAACTAAACTGATTTACTGCACTATTCATCCTAAAGCTTTAGTAGCCAAAACAATCCCCCAAAACCTAAAATCGTTTTGAATCAAGCCGTGAAAATTGTTAATTTTATTAAAAGCTGATCATTGAATTCGAGAATATTTACAAATGCCAAGAGAAGGGCAGTGAGTACAAAACGCTTTTGTTACATTTCGAAGTAAAGTGGTTATCCAGAGGCAAAACTTTAAATCGTCTTTTTGAACTTTGATTAGAAATTCAAATTTTCCTCTGGGGGGGAGGTAGCCCTACATCAGTGGCTACCCCCTTCTGTGATTTAAAATTTGAATTGCAAAAATGTTTATTTACTGAATTATGATTGGTACATTTAGCATATTTAGCTGATATTCTTGGAAAGTTAAACGAATTAAAATTAAGATTACAAGGATGATTTACAAAGGATTACAAGTATTAATTTGTTTTCCATTATACAGAAAATTAATGCAATGATAAAAAAAACTCCCAAGTTAAAACCGAAAATAATTTGAAAATAAAAGAAGACTTAGCATCCACATTAAAAATCTTTGCTTTTCATTGATAAATAATTTCAACAAGTATTTTCCAGAAGATTATGAAAAAGAAAAGTGGATTAGAAATACGTTTTGTTTAAATGTATCTGAAAATTTTATCTCGTGAAGATAAGGAACAAGTGATAGAAATTCCCAGCAATCGAACTCTAACTGAAGATTTCAAAAATAACACACTTGCTAACTTTTGGCTGAATCAGGGGGGGGGAGAATTTGAAGGTATTTAAAATTTTTATTGCTTTTTTTAACAACCTGTTTGTACGAACAAGGATTTTCTTCCATGTTATATTTGAACAATAAGTACAGAACAAAATTCAAAATTAAAAAAGGATACTAATTTACGGTTAAAACTAAGTGAAATAAGACCAGAGATAAAGAAATTGATCTCTCTTAAACAGACCCAAATTTTGCACAAAATTTTAGAAGTAAAGTACTATTATAACTTAAATTTTGAGAATTAAAATGGTAACCAATTTTTATTCCAATATATTTTCTGTGTGCTTAATACAAATAGCCAATAGGTTGTGTAAATGGCAATATATATACATATATATATTTTTAACTAGAAATTGAAAAATAATCACTGTAAAATATAGTGGTGGTACTAAAGTTTTTCAGTTTTTATTTAGGTGGTAGACGTTAGTCAAAAGTTTGAGAACCACTGGCTTAGGAAAAATCCATGTAAATGGTCTAAGTATTAATTAACTCCACCTCCAGGATAGTTTTGGCTCCAGGTAAAAATCCCAGATATTTTTGGCACGATAATCATGTGCTGGGATATTCCCAACACATGATTATATTATGCCTTTTGTCCCAAAAGCCAGCCTTTATTTTGACAACCATTGGTCATAAACATTATACTTCCAGTTACAAAAGCAAATAATCATGCAAACCTTTCATTTCTTAAATCATGCAAACCTTTTATATGTCCCTCTGGTCCTTATATTTAGGAAAAGTTTAAAAAATTGTACCGAAATTTTGATTCTCTGTAACTTTTGACTCCCATGTAATAAAAATTAAATTAGATATTTAATTTCAAAATTTGCAATTTTTAACTTTCCTTCGTAAGTCAGGTAATCAATAAATGAAAACAATTCAGGATTGATTTTTATTTCTTAAATGCCAATCAATGATATCATTTTGCAATATTCTACAATTCACAGTTTTGTTACACATAGTACACTAAAAGACTTGACACAATTTAAAAGTTTTAAAATGCATTAAATATTTTCACAAAAGTAATTTATCCATTTTTAAATGCATAAAGAGATGTTATTTATATTCTGAAGCAATTTTGTTACTTTAGAATCATAATATAATAATAATAAAAAAAAAATTCATTAAATCAGAATTTTTAATTTATGGAAATCATGTTACGAGTTTGGTATGCGATCAGTGTTTTTATAGCACAAATTTCTGTCATATTCTGTGAATTAGATCTCTTTTTTGACATACATTATACTGATCAATGCTTTTCATAAAAATCTGCATAGAAATGCCAATCATTTAATCAATTACAATCTGAAACCTTTTTTAAAATTGATAGTATTTTATTTTTAGTCATATACAAATACAAACACTTGTTTCAAAATTTGTGCACAACTCCTCATTATGATTTCTAGTCTTTTAAAGTAAGTATCTCAGACAATAAAAATTGCACAGAAGTCACATATTTTACTTTTTATTTTTTTTAAACAGAATCTAAAATTTTCCTACACATAGGTACAAGGACTGGATGAATGCATAAAAAGCTATATTTTGTAATTTTGACAAATTTTTTTTTCTTAATTTCAAAATGCTAAAATGCATTGCTTAAAACGTTTCTGGAACTAGAAGAACATATCTATGACCAATGGTTACAAAAATAAAGCCACATAAGAATTTTTATGAGCACAGGTATATGAATACCTGAAGTTATAATGTAACCTAAACTACAAAGTTTAATACAAAGTACAACACAATCAATTAAAACAGTACTCACTTATGTATCATTCGAATCTGATTTAGGTGGATCTTTCAATACCAGTGGTGCCAATGGAATGTTTTTCTTCTTCCGAGAAATAACTTCATCTATAATTTCTTTGATCACATTTATGTTGTTCAGAACATTAAATTCCATTACTTCAACAAGACGATCAAATTTTTTAGATGGATATTTGAAGTTATAAATGGAATATGTTTTCTTATCATCACTAAAAATAGTGAAATCAGCAAATTCAAGTTCTTCTTTGGTTTCCCTAGGAATGCCTAAAATAACAGAAATTTAATTCTTGTGATATAAGTGTTAAAATATATTTATCATAAGTAAGTTTTAGATTGAATCAAGTGATAAATAAATTCAAAGGTCAGTTACACACATCTGATGTGAAGATTTTTAAGAATGACCAAAGGATTAAAGTACGGAATAAATTTAAAAATTAGAACAATAAAATAACAAGGAAATGAAGGACTTGAGTAAAACGTTTACTCAATAAATTTTAAACTTGGAATAATAATCATAAAAAAACAAGGAAATGAAACACTTAAGTAAAAAATTTACAATTAATTATTGCTATCTTCACTTACCCCTCAGTAGTTCTTAGCATAACTGAGGTTAAGTTTGTTGATTGCTTCCAATTTTATATTTTCATTTGACAATTCATATAGTGAAAGATAAATGTATTTGCAGCTGTAATATGTGAAAAAAGTTACTCAGAGACCAACTGTGGTGGAATCAGAGACTCATTTTGTACATACTAGGATGTTAATCAACAGTTTACATCAATCACAGCCAGCACTTAACTAGAAAGATGTTCTACCAGTTTTTGTAATATCCTCAGGAATTACCTTCTACCCATCTGGAAGAGATGAAATGAATCTGGTTATTGACATGTGCAGTATGGTTTGGCAGATAACATAAATTCCAATTTTTTCCAGAGGTATTCAGTGTGGAGTTGTAAATGAGGTTCAGTGAATATCAGTGTAGTTTTTCAACACCCATTTCTTCAAATCACAGAAGCACAATTTCTGCTGCATGCATAGAATAGTTGTTACAGAAACAGTCCTTTCCAAAATCGTTGTAATACACTGGTTTATATACAACTGTTATAAAATACTTATAAGGTATTTTCTCCCTCATTTCTGCATGCCTTTGTGGTGCAATGGCAGCACACTCAGCATGCATTTGAGAGGTCCACGGTTACCATTTTTCACCTTTCCTGCTTCAAAATAACATAATAAATCTACAGTGGTGCCTGTACTAAAAATGGTGGTGAATGATGATTCTTCACCACCAGGATTTGGCGACTGGGTCCCCTAATCCCTAGTCGCTTTTCAAAAGGGGGAATATATAATGTATTTTCTCCCTCCTTTCTGCATGCCTTCGTGGTGTAACGGTAGCATACTCGGTGCGTATTCGAGAGGTCCAGGTTCGAATCCTAGTGAGGGCATTGCTCACTTTTCATGTTTCTTGGTTAAAAATAACCTAATGACTCTAGAGTGGCCCCGAAACTAAAATGATGATTCTTCACCATCAGGATTCGGCAATTGGGTCCCTTAATTCCCAGCTGCCCTTTAAAAAGAGAAGTTATAAAAGTATGTAAGCATACTTTCAAAGGCATATACACCTTTGAAAGTATAAAAGGTATTTTCTCTCTCCTTTCTGCATGCTATCATGGTGTAACAGTAGCACACTCTGTGTATTCGAGAGGTCCAGGTTCAAGTCCAGGCGAGGACATTGCACATTTCTTTAGGTTTTTAACATTAAAAAAAAAAAAAAAATAAAAAAAAAAAAAAATTTAATGACTCCACGTATTTATAAAATATATAATGGATGGAACTTTTTTCTTTTTGGAAGAATTCAACAAGACATCATCTGATATCACTGCTGCTATTTCACACTTTTTGCTTTCTTGTATCTTCCACAGATGGTTTCATTTTATGCTGCTATAGGAACTTTTCCATCATTCCACAATAATCAAACTTAACCTTTTTTTTTTACACAAACCTGATTTCGCCTGATTAATTAGAACTTGATATACCATTATTCTTCAGGTAACATTTAAGACGAATAATTTATTAACAATACTTAGCTGAAAAAATAGAACTACAAGAAATTATCTAAATAATCTTAGACTAAATACTCTCAATTGTATATTAAGACAAATGAGTAACACAGGAAAATGCTATAAACAAAAAGCAATAATTTCAATTTAAAGAAGCAGCAACAGGCATAATAGAAACATAACAATAATAGTAAATGGTTTTGCATATATTACATTTGCTAATGAATTATAAATTACTCTATGAAAAAGAAGTACACAAGACATATATAAAATTTATGTAAAACATACCAGGCGATTTGAATTTCCTGAAATCTAGGTTGATTAATGGAAAATGAATTATGATTGGACACATCTCGTTTACAGGATCTTTGAAAACATAACACTCTTTTGGTGGATGTTTGATATATTCAGCAGCAAGATCATGGATGGGAGGAAACAAACAATTATTTAAACGAGCCCACTTCTCTGACAGCAGCAATTCCTGCAGCACATTTAAAAAAAAAGGCATGATATAAACGTACATGTCATTCAGTCTTCTTTTATACATCATAAAATAAACATAAAAGCAGCATAATTTCATTTAAAACTAAAAATAATTGAATTAAATAAATATAACAGAAAAATCTGTTTAAGGAAATTCAGTACGATTAGAGTTGTACCTCACAACAAAAAACAAGTGGGCATTGTCATAAAGTGTTAAGTTTAAAAATGCAAGCAAAATTATGACAATAAATAACATAACTGAACTACAGCACTTTGAAAACATTCAATATTATTATCCTTTGCATCTGCATGCTCATTTCAGACCAGTCTAATAAATGAGGAATCAAACTGGTTACTGCAGAACCTTGTGAGTTTTCTCATGTTAAAGGAAACCTCTCAAATGCTGAACTCCGATCTCAGTTTGATAGTCATTGGTTTTAAATCTCCACTATCAGTGGCACACAGTATTTGATTTGCCCTTGTTTTCCTATCCATACTTCTTTTTAAACAATTTTCCATTTTTGCTTCTAGCATTTGAATTGTTACCAGTAACACAGCATTATTGATCTTTCCTGCTCTTATTTACTACAAATAGAAATTAAGACGTAACAAAATGTTTGAACTAAATGTGTTTGCATGTAAATTAGCAGACAATATTGCATTATTAGTGGTAGAAAATGAATCATTCTTTTCTTTTTCTGTAAATGAAACAGTATATTATATTATTTTGTATAATTAATGCAAGAATTATGATATTTTAACGTAATTCAAAAGACATGAGGAAATGCAGCTCTTATATTATATTATTTTGTATAATATAAGAGCTGCATTTCCTTATGTCTTTTAAATTACGTTAATAAAATGATATAACATAAAGGATATATAAAGGCTAAAAATTTTCAGAAACATTTCTGAAATTTCTTAATACATGTGGAGAAAAAGGAAGAAACAAAATCCTAAAATGATGGTAAGCAGGCATCTTGCCAAAAAACAGACATTTCACACTAAGCTAAGACTTTTCACATAGAAATAAGATCATTAAAAAACTATCAAATGCACAAATAAGCTTTAGCACAGAAAGTTAGAATAATTTAACAATAAAAAATTAATCCATTGCCAGACAAATGGTCTGAACACAAAATACATGTAAAATGGTATGATAGACAAAAACTAAGTATACAACAAATAGTTGTAGGGTAATTTAATGATATAATATTAATTAAAGTTTACTAAACTATACAACTTTCTTCAAACAAATAAATAATGCATAGAATACAGCATTAAATCAAAAACAATATAAAATGCATTAATGATAAAATGATTAGAAATGGAACAGAGAACATTAAAGGTGCTACATTCCAGAACGAATCTAAATAAAGCAAATATTGTATTTTTATTTTCTTTAAAGCAGTAAAATTACAGTATTTAAATGTATAGGTGTAACGTAAAGTTTTATGCTTATTTTGCATTCAGACATTATAAATCAAATTAGTTTACATGAATGTAACATTTTAGGTGTTTGTAAAGAAAAGCATAGGAAAATATGAGCAGTTTAACTAAAATCATTTAAAGAACACCTGAATATATTTAAAGATTTTCATAAAATATATGAAATTAATTCAGAATCAAGTTATTGCATGCATTTATATATTCATTAATTACATTTGCTGGTTATTAGATATTTTTGCAGCAAAGAGAGTAAGAGAAACCGCATTGTCAAATCTCATATTTTGTACTTATTGGAGGCTGCTATCATAGATTAATTTCAAAACATACTGCTGTCATAAAATTTCATTTTATAAGTCCAGAGGAATAGTTTATATAGACTCAATTTATATTACAAATTAATAATGATAGAATAATTGAAAGCACTGAAAATTACTGCATCAAAAAAAATATTATTACACAGACATAAGGCGGAAATGTTTTGAAATTCATACAAAATAAGATGCATAAAATGACATAAAATAAACTTAATAACTGGGTCTTATTATTGAAATATTAAAGAAAGAAAATTCACTTGGGTTCAGATTTTGCTGCTTGACTAGGAATCAATTAAATAGGTGCTTATGCATGTAGTAAAATCTGTTTTTACACAATAAAAGCTCAACAACAAATTTTTTAACTAAATCTTTCAAATACTTTATGTTTTAAACATTACAAATAACAGAAGAAGTTTTTTTATGCCCGTCTAGTTGATAATTATACAATATATAAATTTAGTACTGTAGAATTTATAAGCAAAGCAAATTTGATTACTCACTGAAATCCATCCATAGAAGAGGCATAATATAAGTTACATAATATGCTTTTTGTTAGTACCTGTTTTATTTTTCTCAATGCAAGAAAAAAAAAAAAAAAAAAAAAAAAAAGATAAACATGTATGAATCTATAAGAAATAATCTTCAATTGGTATGAAATCAACTATACTTTTCATCACAGCCCACAACTAAAGAGTTATTGATGTGCAATTGAACATCTTATCACTGCTGAAGATTAAAAGATAGTGATAAGATGTGCAGTGATAAGATGTTCATTCAAATGTTGACAAATGTGGCTTAGGACCACATTTGTCAACTATTTACTAAATAAAGTAATTCGCAAACTAAACTTATCAACTCTCTTCAAAAAATATAAAAAACATGATATTATACAGCATTAAATAAAAAACAATATAAAATCCATAAATGTAATAGGTAAAGAACAGGAATGAAGCCAAATTTATACCACTAAAAAATCTGAAAATTAAATTTAGGTGCCCAATTTATAGAAATAATTTATTATAATGGTAAACTACTATAACGCATGCGTTATTATTAACAAAATGTAGTAATCTGGAAATATTTCAAAGTAACAATACCAAGAGCAAATTAAATCCAAATTAATATTTGAAAATTACACATTAATTACTGATTTAATTGCTGAATAGAAAACAATTTCACTCTGTATTAAAATCATTCATTTAACAAAATGTTACTTCATTTATACAAAATGTTAACTTGAAGAAAATTACAAGGATATTTACAAACCTTAAAAGGGGGGCTGTTATCATGTTCCCGACTGCTAAAATCAAATGAAATATATATATCTACAGCTCTTTGTGGTCTAAGAAGAAGAGGAAATGGTAAATTAAAAGTCAAGCCACCATCAACAAGGTATAGTGTTTTGGAATTAGTTGGTGCAGGCTCAGTTAAACCTTTAAATAAGGTATCTAAAAGAAAAAATAATAGAATAATGAAAACAACAGCAAAATCAAAATAATTCACTATTTTCTTTCATGAACTCTATTTCTATGATAACCACAGATACCTAGGAAAGTAATACAAAAAGATCAACTAGTGGATTATTGTAAATTATTATTATAAGTTGTAACCTTTAAAATGTTAATTTTTATAAGAAAGAAAATATAAATGTGGTTTTAAAATAACATTCAAAAGGCATTATGTTATGTTAAAGAACAATATTTACCTGCAAAATTTATTCTAAACACAATGTTCACTATTTTCAGGGAGGAGAAATGTGCTCTTTTAAAATGTTTGCAAATTTTAATAGCAGTAAAGAACAATAGATTTCTTAGGAGTTTGAAAATCATAAAATATATTCTGCAATGAAATAATATCTGAAAAGAAAAACTGGGCTGATCTTTGGAATATGGTAACTGGTAGATTGGCGACATTTTGGAGGCGATAAAAGTTACTACCTAGGACTTTGGTTGTAATGTGAGAAGTACTCAGTTCCGATTACGCATTATTTTGTGTGAGGGAAATGAGAGATCATGAGATATGTCATGTGACATTAATGGACGAATTACAGTTCTTTAATCGGAAAAGGGGGGAAATCGAGAAAAAATCTGGAAATTAGCTTTATTCTGTGTTGTGTGAAACAGTGTTCATTAATTTTTGGATCCCATGGCCCTAACTGAAGTGATTCGAAATGGGTATTTAGTGGGATTGAAAGGGGTAGTAATAAGTGTTTTTTTAAGGTTGTGCGAGATAGAAGTAAAGATGTTTTTATTAAGTTATTTATTTTACCTGGTACCTTGCTGTGAACTATAAGTATGATTTTAAAGATCCTGAAACAGGCGCACATACGCTTGCTTTTTATTTAGCAGAGGAAATAAGAAAAGTTATAGGACACGTAATCAAGATTCTGAAGAAGATTAGGTAAGTTAGTATTTTTAATTATTTGAGGATATTATTTTTATGCATTGTTCTAAATGTAAGGAGTAAATAAAATAATATGGTATTATTGGAAAATTGTTATTAGCAATGATTTTTATATTTTAAGTAGTGTTTTTGAATTTAATTATATTTTAAATGATAGTTATTTTGTGAATTATATGTTTGTAGGAATTTGGTAGTTATTTTGTGAATTATATGTTTGTAGGAATTTGGTATACGTTTAAGTTGAAGTAAACGTACATGGAAATAATTTAAATATTTGACACTAAGTATTTGTAACCATTTGTAATGTTTGAGGTATGAATTCATTGGTGACGTTTATAATATAATAGATAATTTAGAGGTAAAAGTTTTTGGATATTTTATTTATTTTATAGGTGAAATGTTCATCTTTGGAGAGGGTATATACTTTTTCGCAATCAGGTAATTTCATATATGTTCTTTTTACCGGATTTAAAGATTCACAAAATTTTCATGCATTTTCATGAAATTTTTCAAATTTACGAGAAAAAAGCAGTGTACATGGATATAGTGAAGAGTGTGCACAATGCCATTTTTGTGCAATTATGGGATGTTTTTTTAAGTAAAAATAAGTCGACATGTACATGGTTTAGTGATATTTTAATTAAATGATAGTTATTTTGTGAATTTTATGTTTGTAGGAATTTGGTATACATTTCAGTTGAAGTAAACGTGCATGGAAATAATTTAAATATTTAATACTAAGTATTTGTAACCATTCGTAATGTTTGCAGTATGAATTCGTTGGTGACGTTTATAATATAATAGATAATTTAGAGGTAAAAGTTTTTGGATATTTTATTTATTTTATACGTGGAAGCATTCATTCTTGGAAAGGGTATATACTTTTTCGCGATCAGGTAATTTCATATATGTGCTTTTTACCGAGTTTAAAGATTCACAGAATTTGTTTGCATTTTCGTGCAAATTTTTGTAATTTATGAGAAAAAAGCAGTGTAGATGGATAAAGTTAAGAGTGTGTGCAATGCCATTTTTGTGCAATTTTGGGATGTTTTTAAGTAAAAATAAGTCGACGTGTAAATGGTTTATGTGTATGTGCTATTGTGGAAAACGCGCAAGGAGTTTGTGATTGTGCACTTTTTCCCAATTTTGCAGTTAATATTTGTCATGATTAAGCAGTTTTGTTACATAAAATTTCTAGCATAAGTGTAATTTGGCTAGTAGATTGTTGGAAAAATTGTTCAGTAAATAAAAAGAAAAGAAACATGTCTTTACTTCAAGAAGACAAAATGGCGACGAAAAAAAAAATGGAGGGTTGCTGTAGCAGAGTTGGTCGCCAAATTTTCGCCAATTTACCATAATCTAAAGATCAACCAAAAACTGCAGTTAACTGTAGTGTTATGAGGATTATAACACTTGAACTAAGTTAAGCATACTCCAATTATTTAGAATTTGATTTTTTTCAATTATAAAAAGAATTGAACATTTCATAAAACTGATTCACAAAACTGACAGCCCCCTCCAAAAAAAGGTGGCCATACAGGATATGATTTGAAACTGAATTCTGCCCTGACTATAATTCTAGATTGAATGATATATAATGAAATAAAGAACTACAAAAAATGTTCATGTTCAAAATATTAAAAAAAAATGAATGTTTTAAAAACTTAAATGCTTGCCAATTCTTCTAAAAAAGCTTACTTTCTAAAATATTTTAAGGTTAAGTGTGTTAAGTATAGCAATAAAAATTATTAATGTTTCATTCATATACTAAAAATTTCTAAATAAAAATTTCAGATTATATAAAGTTATTCTGAATATGTTTGGTATTTCTATAATGAACTTTATATAGTTTTTTCTTAATACACGTTTTTAAGAACAATAATGCATAGCAGAACGATGGATGTCGTTGAGACAGATAATATACTAAGTGTGATTCACATAGCTACAAACAAGAATCTAACCTAGTTTAGTAATAAATATTGGTGTATTAACAATTTTTTTATAAAAATAAGATGCTATTAAAAAATAAGTGCAATATTAATAATAAATACTGAAAATCAAAGTCTTACTATCACTAGGAGATGTAGGTGAAAATGGAGAAAATGGAAAGCATGGAATCAGAGAAAGTCCTCTTAATGGATTAAAAACACGTCCAGCTCTTCCTTTCCGTGTATCTAACACAGAACTCGTAAAAATGTTATTGATAAAGTCTTTCCAAAACCCAGGATTCAGCATACCACATTTCTCTGAACTACTGCAAAAATATAAATTTTTAGTTTTCTTAAAGAAATTTATCAAAGATAAATCAAACATGTTTTGGTACTTACATGTTATCACAATCACCCAAATTCTCTCCCCCCCCCCAAGCATATGCCAAACTTTGGCCGCCATACTCAGAACAATCCTTCATTCAAGCAATTCGCTATTAGACCGTGTTGCCGAAGTTTGCACGATGCCAAGTCTTTGCAACTTTCAGATATATTTTAAGCAAAAACAGATCGCTGTGTATTTGAGGAGAAGAATATCGCAAAAAATAATCGAAAAATTTGGAGAAGAATGCATTTTTTCAATGTACCCTATAACCCTTATTTAATTAAAATTTGCAGTTGAAACTGCTAAAGTATGATTTCTTTCTATATACTGATAATGTCTGCCAACGTGCGATAAACATAGATAGTCTGGGAAGCGTTTAAAAGAAAATGGCACGAAAACTACAAACTTGCACCCAACAAATAAATTTTACTTTTTCATCTGTAAAAAATCACCAAACCGTGGCAAAATGGCTGTGTTACTAGGTAAGTATCCATGCTTTTATATTAGAATATCTTCCTGAGTTTCATATAGGACTTTATGTAAAAAAGTCTTTTCTAAAACCCAGGATTTAGCATAACACTCTTTACAGAAGCATTATAAAAAATATACATTGCTGATTTCCTTACAGAATTTTTTTAGATATATTTTAATATTAGATTCATTTTTTTATTCATACATGCAATATTTTTAGCCTGAATTTATTTCATACATTTAAAAAACAGAATGGTTTAAAATACAATAAAAATGGAGTATATTATAACGATTCAACACATTTTTTAGAATTATTAAAATGTGTAAAATAAATACAATTTCTATAATTAAACACGAGTTTGCTTACTGTCGTTGTCAATTGCGAATATTTTCTGCATTTTCAAAATGTTATATTACAGAAAATTATCAAGCTGAGAATAAACTAATGTCAATAAACTACAACTAAATAATGTAATCCTCAAATGTTCAGAAAATTTCAGAAAATTATCAAGCTGAGAACAAACTAATGTCAATAAACTACAACTAAATAATGTAATCCTCAAATGTTCATAAAATTTTCATTGACACAAACACAAAGTTCACACTGTGTTTAAGAATTACACTAATATCAATGAAACTAAAATGCTATCAAATATAAGTTACTTGATATTCAGCTACCTAAACAGATGAAACTTAAATAATAAAAAAAAATTATTGCCCACCAGCGGCCGAGCGGTAAAGTCGCTGAACACTGGTAGTTCGGTCCGAGGTTCGAATCCCGCGAACGGGCTGGCTGCATGGGCGTTTTCGTGGTTTTCCCCATGTGCAACGTGTATACGAGCCAGTTTCCCTTAGAAAGTCCTCCACGAAAGGCATCCCTTTCCTTAGGCAGACAGCCCTAGTGTGCTTTGCCATAATCAAATACACCACCAACACCTTAAATAAAATTATGATAAATCAAACAAACTATCAACTTGTATGCTTCCAGGGAAGGAATACTAGCATTTTTAAATTTCTGGTTTGATTACAGAAATATTTAAATGTGCAAAATGAATATAAAACTCACAATATCATTTTCACCTGCACTTAATACATACATATGCAAAACATAAAATTCACTATACGATGTTCACCGAGTACCCTAATTTGTATTGACTCAAAAATAATTACTATATCAATAATTCTACTTGGAATCATCCATTTTCTGAAAACAGTATAACAAAAATAATAAAAAAACAATAATCTTGATAATTAACTATTTTATCTTGGCATACGAAATGGCTCGCATTAGTATGAAGTACTATTTTAAACAGGCTTGTTTTAACACAACAAATATAGAACTTGCTATAAGTGAAATCACCCACTGACAGGAAGAATAGTATTGTTTTGTAACACTATTCTTTTTTTACCTCCAAGAAAGTAATAGTTCGAAACGTAGCTAAGCAAACTTTGATCATTTCTGCTTATTTGCAACCCCCCTCTCAAAAAGTCACCAGTTGTTGCTGACTAACTTTTCAGCAAGCTAAGACACGAAAGACAATAGGTATTTTTAAAAATAGTGGTGCAATAAGAATTACATAAAACAGCAATCAATAAACAAAATTTAAAATTAAAAAAACATCCATAATAAAACACTTAGCATTTTTCTGCACAGCTCTCCCCATGTGCACAGTGATTTGTTTTAGCTTCAAAAACATCACAAAATTGGAGAAGCTCAGCTTTGCACAGAAGTTGGCACTGCATGGTCGTTTTCTCTATATAGTGATGTTTTCACTTCAAAAATCAAATATCAGATATTGCCCAAATTTGGCATTTCACATGTTGTTTTCTCATGTACACAACAATCTGCTTAAAAGAACATCAGAGAATTTCAAAAAGTTTGGAAAAAGTCAATTGTTTATGAAATACAAATTCATGAAATGTGAAGTTTTGCATTTTCAACTATTAGGGAAAATGCCATATTTCTGAAGAAATGCCAATGCTTTCTTTTCCAACAGTTGGCAAATTTCACAGTTCCTTACAAGGGTAAAAAAAATGCACTGAATGAAAAAAAAAATACTAATAACTCATCAATGCAACAAAAACAAACACTAGTGACTGGTAATTGTATGCTGAACATGTGCCTGCATATCTGGGTTGCTACCTAAATACATTTTGGTGACTCGAATGAGATAATATGAAAGTACCCATAACTTTTATACTTAAATACATTTAAATTATTACCTAACATTAATGTGCTAAATGACAAAGGAACAAATAATAATAAAAAAATTTCAAATAAAATTATGCATAGAAACTTAGTTGCATTTGAAGGAACAGAATACTTTAAATGAACAATTTCTTAGGACAGAGCCAAATTTATGCCATAAAATATGCCTCTATGAAGCATATTTAATAAAACATAGCTTCCATTCATTTAATGTATAGGAGAAACCAAATAAATCGCACGAAATCAGCTTGCTTAGTCTCAAATCTGAGCCAATATACATTTCAATAATCTCATCCATTTGTTCCAATGAATCTTAATTTTGAAACAATATTTCTTATTTTCAATGTACTTTTTAAAAATGTATTGTTTTTGTATATGTATTAGGTATCACTAACTGCCAAGATAGTTAACACTAACTGCGAAAATAGTCATTTTTTTCTGATACTTTTAGTTTAGTTTAGTTAGAATAAAAATCTTAATTTACTAAAACATTGTGTTATCTTGTAACCTGAAAAAATTTCCTGCAGTTTGAAAGATAATATTTTGATAAATGTTTTCTCTTTTCCTGTCATTCAAAAAATTATTTTTTAAATAAAGGTATACTGTCTTTGTATAGATTAAGTACTGCAATCAGTTACATAAGTTGCTTACTTATATTAGGGATACACTATTATATTAGAGAAAAATTAGCTTCTCATTATATCGTAAATGCTGTAGAAAAACAGAAATAAACAAAGAGACACAAAATAAAAATATAATTGTCAAATGTTTAGATAAGTTGATGTGGGTAAATCTGTTATACTAACTGTTACTGTAATGAGTGAAAATCAGAAATTAATAATTGCATCTATCACATTTGCATCCTTAATAACCTATTTGATATATATATATATCAATTACTAAAGTTGGTTTAGTTCACCATATTCGATTAATACTACAATGATTTCTCTTGTTTGAGCTCTCAGGATCATATTTATTGATATTTCGTCTTATCCAATTATCTTATTATTATATTAATTACAGCATCATTTTATGTAAGAGAGATGAAGCAGAGTTATTTAATTTAAGAAAACTTTTCATCGTATGGGAATTGGTGCATTTTTATAACAAAAAGGCTGCACAAAAGCCATCTAAGAGCTATCTGTAAAAGTAAATATGATAAACATTCAAAATAGCTATAAATAAATAAGCATCCTAAAAACTAGAATTACTATTTAAATTATTAGAATATTCTTAAATTTTAATAAAAGCATAAGGATGGGCTTCATGCTAAAGTGTAATGCTTCCTACGAAAAACTGGTTCTCATTTGTATTTCATATTCAATTTTCACTATCAAAGACAAATTTTTTAACCCAATAATATCACAACTAATATTATGTTCTTTAGCTATCAAATAGAGTTAGTTACAGATGAAATGGAAAGGGGTAAAACATATATATACTGAACTTCAATTAATCGTGACAGTTAAAGTATAGGTATATACCAATAAATAGAAAGAATAGAAAATATATCTATATAAAATTTTGAAAAAGGCTCTGCTTACAGGAAAAAATAAACTCTTAGAGGCTTCAGAGAAGTTACATACATTTTTACTGTTAGAACCGAATCCACTGAAATCCACTTGGAAGTTCAATGAAAATCAGTTTTCCTACGTGCAACAGAAATGTTTCAGTGGCATTATTTGATTAATCATTCCTTGCAGAATAATGACAGAAACTTATGACAAATGATGAAAAGGGAAAATAAAATGGTCATAAACAGAAGATAATAAATATAAAATTAATAAAAATAAATAATAAAATAACAAATTTGAATTTATCTTTTGTTTAAACAGATTTTTTTTCAGTCCTCCAATAGTTTTTAATTACCAAGAAACTTTTTATAACCTACAAAATAAATCTCCATTATATACATCAGCAAAATTATCAAAATGTATTTATTTACATATTTTTTATATAATTAAAAATTCTTTTCAAACCAATTTATCTTCATATAATTTAAGTAGAGAAAATTTATACTATAATTTAGCTATATTATGATGTAAAACATTTGGTTAAATAGAACAATTTCCAAAAAATTTAAAACTTTGTTCAGTTTTTTCAGTAACTTATATTTAAGTGAATACACAATTCAAATAATAGTTATCAATTAATTTTTAACAGTACAGATATGATTAATGTAAATTTTCTATTAATTTGAATTATAAATTTCAAGCCCGTATTTTATAATATACAATTACTATCCCTATAAACATGAAATTAAATCTATAGTAACAGATGGAGAATTTAAGAGAAATTTCTAGTTCTATGCAAAATTTCTTTGCAATACTTTCTTCTATACCCTTCCTTATTTATACCTAAAACAAACTGAAAAATTGGATTAAATCAATAAACCTTCAGCTTTTTCCATGTAATGGATAATTTAATCCACTGATCACAGTAGAATACTGTTGAATAGTTTATTGATATTTAATGAATTAATGATCAGTTTTCCATAAAAAGGCTTCTAGAGTAAAAATATTTTTAAGATTAGTAATACATTTAAATTGCATATTATTTATAAAACATTTTTAAACAATAAAGGAAATTCTTAATGTTGCAAGGCATCTATGCTTAAGCTGTGCAATTATACAAATTCTTTAAATTTAACATATATGCTGCAATGCAAAAATCATGCATAAAATTCAAACACAAGCTAAATGCAATAATTTATACAAGAAAAAGGATATATAACAATGCCTTTACAGGAAAGTAGATTGAAATTAACTTCTATGACTGTTTTAATATGAGATTATGAAATAGGAATTATGAATTTTATAGACACTTAAAAACATCTTCCATATGTTATGACTTTTGAACAAGTATAGATATATTATAGAATTGTGTTATTTTAATAGTTTTAATCATACACATACCTGTAAGTTAAAAAGGAATTAGAAATTGAATGATTAAAATAAAAATAAAATCCCTTTTAATAGCATGATCATTCTAATCTAGTTTGAATGAAAACCTGCACATGCCAAAGTATCATTTCTAACAAACTGGAACTTACTGGAAGAACAAGCCATGCCTATTGCAATATCATCTATAATGCTCTGGCTTGTTTCAGATATGCTAGAAGAACTTTACATCGTGCTTATTACAATATTACCTACAATGCTCTGGCTTATGTCAGATTTGCTGAAAGAACATCCAGTCATGCTTAATGTAATATTATCCATAATGTTCTGGCTCATCTCAGATTCCTGAACATCATGTTTTGATCTACAGTAAGACAGAAAAAATATAGGTCTTAAATTTATGGACGTTAGATACCATTGGATGGTTTAAAACCCAGATGCATGTTAGACATCTGTAGATGATAGTGGTATGGTGCATTGCCTAAACTAAAACAGTTTCAAAATGCATATGGAAAAAGGTGCGCATGATCAGATGGCATACTTTAATAGTACACAAAAGTTAAAAGTCTCTCCAAATGTACAAAGGGATCTAATATATATATACAAAAAAGCTTCTCTCACTATTATTATGCATGACTGCTCTGAAACAGTAATGAGGAAGTCGATGGTATATCCATGCTTTCCATAAATAAAGTGGATACAAATCTCATTTAGTACTCTACTGGTATGGAGAGAATATATTTTGAGACAGACAGGTAATCCAAGAATAGAGTCCATCCATAATTTAGAACTCAGATGCAAGTTTAAAAAAACATGGATAGTAGGGGTTTGGTGCACTGCATGTTGAAGCAAACAAACAGTTTCAGGATGCATTTAGACAACTTGTAGAGACATTAGGTATTTTTTTGGAATCAGGAAAGATGAAAAATTAACAACGCCTTCTCCGGGAATCGAACCATGGACCTCTGGAATATCGGCCCAGCGTGCAGAACCACTACACCATGAAGGCACGCCAAGAAGGTGGGAGAAATACCTTATATACTCTCCCTTCCCCCCCTTTTTTTAGGGGACCAAATCGCCAAATTTTGGGTGTGGAGAGACATCATCCACAACACTTTTAGTTCCGGAACCACTGTAGAGAGATTAGGTTTTTCTTTTTTTGGAACCAGGAAAGATGAAAAATTAACAATGCCTTTGTCGAGAATCCAACCATGGACCTCTGGAATACCGGCCCAGCATGCAGAACCACTACACCACGAAGGCACACCAAGAAGGTGGGAGAAATACCTTATAAACTGAAAGGGTTGAGATGATAAGTCATTATATTTAGTAAAACATAACATTTAAAGATCTCTTGAGATATGCCAAGGAATCTAATGCATAAAAAAGCTTCTTGTACTATTATTGAGCACAAGCTGATTAGTTTATATCACATCCATTACTCTTCTATCAGCCCAGTGGATACAAATCCCATAATATTCTATTGGTATGAAAATGATATATTACAGACTGGCAATCCAGTAAACGGATACATCTAGAATTCAACCATATGCATCTTGTAATAGTTATGAATCATGATTGCATGCTTTTTTGTACTAATGATTTTAGGAGGATGACAATGCTGACATTTTCCCTAGCCAAGAAAGCTCTGCATGATACAAGAACAAGAAAATAGCTATTTCAATTTTTTGAGACCTTTTATATGCACATACATCCTAAAAAGATGCTAGTAAAGTTTATAAAATGAATAAAGCTACAAAATGGAGTATATAAACATACTAGCCTCTTGCTTGTCTTTTTCTTATTCCAATTCACTGCCTTAGTAATGCAGTGTTAGGTAATTTTCAGTGGAAATCCTTGTTATACAGGTGTTAATGAAAACATGTGAAAATATATAAGTGAGAGGTATGGTTTTATGATATGGTCATGAGTACTATCAGAAATAATACTAAAAATTTCAGAATGCAAATTGTTATCATTCCTGATGATGGTCTAATGAGGATAAATATTATTTTTAAACTATGCCAAAACCATTCTGTTTGCCATATCTATTATTTAATACTAATTTTTTACAATTAGCTTCAAAGATATGCATTTTGTGTTTTCTGAAATATTTTAATTACATGGGAATGGTGTTAAATCCTTGTAATCTTTAATATTACAAAAGGAATGCATTATAAGCAATGTTATGAAAGTTCACAATAAAGGCGTATAAGTCATGACTGATTATGATACTCCCTATATGATTATTATACGACCAAGACATATACTCACACATAAATCTCAGATCATTAATTTATCATGATTCATCGTTAATCATTGGTAAAAATGCAGTATCTACAATCACTGCTCCTTCATATGTGTAACTAGCATCTAATTTTGATTCCTTTGTGTAAATAATTTGAAACAACAAACTTTGTGTAAATAATTTGAAACTCAATCTGAGTTAATGGTATTTTGTGACATTTAAAAGTCATATAGTTATTCCAGAAATTTAGCTGATATCAAAATAAGAGGTATATTAAACACTGTAAAATGAGAAAGTGCAACTTTCTTCCTTAAGCTATTATTCAATGTTTAATAAAATAGAGGTGATTTTAATATGCAGAGTACGCAGGGGCTATCTGTCTAACAGCAAGGATCCTTCATGGAGGATTTTCTAAGAGAAACTGCTTTGCATGCAAGTTGTACATGAGGAAACCATATAAAACAATCATACAGCCAACCCATTCACCTGGAATTGAGCTCTGGTCAAACTCTTAGCATTCAACAGTCTTAACCACTCAACCACGAGCAGAGACAATTAAAAAAACAAAAAGAAGGAAAAGAAATGCTATAGAAGATAATCGAGTAATGTTCCCAGAAGACATGGCATTCTACCATTTGGATTAATTAAGCTAGGATATTACACAAAAATATAAGTAAGTAACAATTTTATTTGCATTAAAAGTGATCTGAGTTTCATTACTAGAACATAGTACAATTATTAGCATCTTTTTCTCTAAATGTTAGTGCAATTACAAAGCAATATAAAGTAAAAAATGGCTTAAAATAATTGTAGAATATCAGCAACTTTTATGACAAGGATGCATTTAGCGAGCAAGATATAATCTAGTGCATTATAAGAATTACTTTCCACATATGATACCTTCTTTGATGAGAGTCAGTTTTCTTCTTTCTAACAAAAGGTGGAGTTTTATATGATCCAAAATAATGTAAAATACTTGACCAGATCTTCTGTCGGCTATTATGATTAAAATTATTACTAACAATGATATATTAGAATTAAACAGGCATGCTAAATAACATTATTTCAACTAATCAGAGCTTCAACAAAATTAGTTTTCTCTAAACTGAAGGCATTACTTTCTTTAGATATTAATACCTATAAGAAATATTTTCTTTCCAGATAATTATGCATTTGCCAGGAGATATCCAAATACATCGTTTATTTTACCATCTCATCACTCAAAATGTTGCCAAAGATGTACTGCATAAAATAGACCATAGTATACCTAAAGGAAGGAAGCGGTAAGAGAGACATCAAAATGCTGGGTAGTAGCAGAGTTAATAGTGCATTAACCAGAAAGGTTATATGCGCCAAACACACGGTAGTTTATACAATGATAACTTTCATCCCAACTAAAGTTTTATGAAACACTTAATAAAATGACGAACACTAGGTTGGATAGGTATTAAAACTCAGCAAATGATATACAACAACCGATGAAACACATTAAAATTAAACCATAATAAAAGCTAAATCAACTTAAATAACAAAAACCTGTTTCTTTCAGGTATAGAAATAAATTATTATTGGTCTCTTTCCTGATTAAACAGTTAAGAGGCAAGTCACACTCGTTAAAATGCTTTAGTCTCTCTATTAAAATTCGGACACTCTATTAAAAAATGACACAATGATAAAATGCTACCACATGAGGGACAGATTGGCTTGCTCTCTGCTTTGAGAAGATAATCGTGAGTGATTTAGGAGTGGCTAATTTGAATACGAGTCATCAAAATGCTGGGATTCAGATCCAAACACATAGTATGACACTCAGCCTCCACCAATGGATGAGGATGGCTCTGTTACACACAAATTATTTTATCATAAAGTAAGTTATGCTCAAAGAAATTTTTCCTTTATTTTCTTTTTCAATTACTATTAAACTGTTAATATCAGATGAAGCTGTGAAAATGTTTTCTTATTTCATGATTCCCAGATTTTATTTCAGGTAATAAAATCAAAAACTAATATGCCTAACAAAATAATAACAATTGATTATAATTCATTTGATTACTCATATGGGTCTTCTCATTTTATTATCTGAAAAAAATATAATTTAATAACATAACTGAATAAAATAAAAGCAAAATTATTGCATGAATTACAGATAAATATGAATCATAATAAAAATTTATATTTAGGTTATTTATTATGGCAAAGTAGTGGGATTCAACTCTGTATATGTTTTTTTTTGTCATCAGTTTTGTTTCAGGCTTGCTTCATGAAGACTGCATAGGCTGGTGCATGGATTTTTGTTGCTTTCCTAAGTCTAATATAAATATTATTATAAAACCCAATTTCTCTTGTAACCTTTTTCAATAAAGGCTTGTCCTTTAAGACAGTTAGCTCTCAACCGTCTTAAAGGACAAGCCTTTATTGAAAAAGGTTACAAGAAAAATTGGGTTTTATAATAATATTTATATTAGACTTAGGAAAGCAAAAATTCATGCACCAGCCTATTCAGTCTTCATGAAGCAAGCCTGAAACAAGACTAATGACAAAAAAAAAAAAAAAAAAAAAAAAAAAAAAAAAAAAATACATATACAGAGTTGAAGCCCAATAGCAAGCAACCCACATAATAACCAAACCATTATGCTTACTAGATAGGTTATTTTTTTTTTAATCTAAAACAGTTTCTATTTTATTTCCTTTCAATTTATTCTAATCTTAAATCACTTTAAAGAAGCTGATTTTAACTATTGTATCACAAGATTACATTCAGGATTGTGGCTGGATAAAAGTAATCCATTTTTTGGAAAACATATTAGTTTAATTAATAATAAGAATAATCAATTTAATTTATCTCCTTTTCAAAAGAAATAAAATAGTTCAATTTTGTTTAAAGGAAAATAGACTTCTGCTTTTGAATTTTTTTCCTTGCACTATAATTGGTATATATCTCCTTTAGAACCTGTCAGTCAGGAAGATAATGACCTATTGCCTTAGAAGAGTAGGTACAAATGATTTCTAAAGCCCATTTGAACTTCTGCTACTCCTGTTAATTGGACGCAAGCAGGGAGAAGAAATTCTTTTCAGACTGCATGAAACTATCAGCTGATTTCTTAATTAAATACTGAAAGGGGGTTAACATATTGATTCTTCAGAAAGAAAACTCCCATGGTTACAAAGCCATGTTTATTCAGTAATCCAGAACTTATGAATGAAGAGGCTCAAATCAATAAAATATTTCATTATTCTTGCAAATGGTAAATTTCAAGAAATTGAAACTGTGCTTTTTCAATAACTCAGCAATGCCCAAATCGAAAATGTGTTTATATTGGGAATTATCTTTAAGTTAAGTGTTTGAAGTAAAATAAAAATTCAGATTTTTTGCAAGCAGTGGCGAGACTAAAAGATTTGGAAATATACATATAAGTTAGCTTTTAAGAATGTTTATGAAGTATTGGTATAAGTGAAAATTAATTTCAGAGAAGAGAAAACAGTATTTTGAAAGATGTAGCATTTGAAGCAGAATGTTTTTTCATATCCTAGTAGAAATAGCACCATCTTTCCACTCCAAAAAGTGCCATGAGGTTAAAAAAAAGACCAAACAACTGTGTTGTTAGATATATATATATATATATTATTGATTATATATATATTATTATATAATAATTTAACTAACTTTGCAGCAAGGCACAAGTAAATAATTGTCGAACTAAATGGATTTAAGATCATACAACATTTGATATATTATTATATATATATTATTGACTTTATTACATATATTATATGACTTGGCAGATTAATTGAAATCACTTACCATTCAAAATTTGGCACAGTGCGTGACCAACAAGATGTTTCTCAAAAGATTCTGATATAATTAAAATGCATATATTGTCTTCTGATTAAAAAAAATAACTCTTTGTATCAAACTCAACACAGATTGTATCAAACTGAACACATTAGCCACTCCAGAAAATATCAAAAACTTTAATTTCAAAACTTGCTTCTTTACAACAGTATGACTGTAAAGACATTAGGTATTTGTTTTAGAAGCAGGAGAGATGACAAATGAGCAAAGCCTTCACCGGGAATCGAACCGGACCTTTGAAATACACGCCCAGCATGCAGACCGCCACACCACAAAGGCATGCTAGGAAGGCAGAAGAAATACCTTATATACTTCCAACTTTTAAAAGGCGACTGGGGTTTTTAGGGGACGTAATTGTCAAATCCTGGGTGGGGAGAATCATCATCCACCACCCATCCCTGTTCAAGCACCACTGTAGAGACATTAGGAATTTTTTTTTTGAAAGCAGGAGAGATGAAAAATGAGCAAAGCCTTCACCGGGAATCGAACTGTGGACCTCTGGAATAAGTGTCCCGCATGCAGATCACCACATCACGAAGCCATGCTAGGAAGGCAGGAGAAATAGCTTATATGACATCTATTAACTATATTTAGAACCTTCAGGTAAATGCTTTAAAATATTTAAATGAGAATTATTATCCATAACTTGATTTCATTAGATAATTCACTCTTTGGCCCTGAAAATGGACTTAGTCTTACAGCATATCATTTTACTTAAAGTATTTTTTCCCAAGGATTTTTGTTAACCTTTTGCACTCAAGAGGTGACTCTCAGTTACTCTTTGATGCGTTAACTCAAAAGGTGACTCTTGATCACTACTTTGATGCAATAATTAGAGGGTTTATTTAAGATTCATTTGGGCAATATTGCTTCATGGGAGTATTCAACAATACAAGCCAAACAGCTGCCAATCTTTAATCATGAATACATTTTTGAGATTTATTATTACATATATGTCTTCAATGTTAGTTTTAACTCAATAGTTGTGGCAACAGGAATATTATTTTCAAAGTTATGAAGCTCAGTAAGTTTGAAATACTACGAAGCAATCAGTTCAGGTGAAGATGAGTCCAATTTCTCATTGATCAAGAATGAAATTATGTCTATGCATAGACATAATTGTCGTTAAATATGATGGCAATCATCAAGTATGATGACAAAGAGGAGGAAAACAGTGATAAAGATAGTAATGAAGTAAGAGGTAAAAGAATCAGGGTGTGATAGTGAATGTGAAAGTGACAGAGATTCCACAAAAGAGACAGAAAATTCGAATTGGATATCCTGGACAGAATCCAAAGAAATACTGCAAAAATACAGTTTGTATCTTTCGAAAGAGAAAGGACCACAAATATCTTCAGACATAAAAGAGCCATTAGATTTCTGCGAAATCATTTTCAAGTTAGCTGTAAGAAATTCACCAAATACGTGGAAAACTGTTTCGAGCTGCTGGTTAGCCTAAGAGGAAAAGGGCCTCGAGTGCAACGAGTTAAATATTTGACTGCATTAGGAAAGTAAGTTTAATAAATTTACGATTGAACACAAAAAATTTTCTAAAATTTAACTTTCAACTAATTCAATAACTGTACTGTGATGTTTGTTCTTTCATGGGTTCTTCCTTGACTGCATAATGTGGTTCTCATTGTAGTTAAAACATGTGCATAACAATAGACATCACTTTTATTTATACTGGACAACATGATTAAGAAAACAAATTTAACTAACGCATATAATTTTTTCAGCTTTTCTAGCTATATAATGTAAGTAACAACCCTCTCCCTTTTTCCCATCCTTGGGAAATGTGTGTGGGTGTGTATGGGGAAGAGGTGGAATATGGCAGTTAGGCTGAAAGTGTGCATGTCTGGAGTTCACCAGACCCTGTCATGACCAACTTTTCAAATTATGATAGAGTTAGGAGACCTTTCATAATAATAAATAATACAATCTAAGTATTGTAAATGACCATAAAAAATTTTTATTTTACAAATCACATATTTAAAAAAAAATTATTGACATAAAAATTGTATACCTGTAATATAAGAAAATGTAATTCTAGGTGTGTGAACAAATATTTATTTTATTAATTTTTTTATAAATATATTAACCCCACTCTTATATTCAATTTCCTTTAAAAATAAATAAATAATAATAATTTCCCTTACCTATTTTCCTCATTCTTGTCACTAAGTTCTTCTTCACTTTCAGAACAAGCATCTTCTGCTTCATCATTATATAAATTTTCTAAAATGTTTAATTAAGAAACGTTTTAGAAATGAATTAATTAAGAACTAATTAAGAAACATCAAAGAAATTAACTTGCCACATAATAAAGATTTCAGAAGAAAATTGTTAGTAGTGAATGAGAAAGGAAATAAATGTAGAAGTCACTAAAAATATGAGGAAGTTAACACTAAAACACAAAATTTAAGCTAATAAATTTAATTATGAAGAAATGCCAAAAGAAGAAAAATAAATTTTTTCATTAAGTACCAAAAGCATCTCGAAGAGTATCTTCTTCATCTTGGAATTCTTCTTCAGCATCAAAAAAAATTTCCTCCTCATCGTCTGATTCTTCAATATGACAGGAACTGAGATCTAATGATAATTTCGTGCTTCGCTGAATTAATCTTTTAAAGAGAATACTAAAAGCACTTCCCCATATGCCTGAAAATAACATCAAAATTATATAGGATATCGCTAAAATTTAGAACAACCACATTTCATTTCAGATTAAATACAAATTTACAACAGATTTCCATATTTTAAGATGTTTAGAGAATCAAAACCACATTTTTTAGAGCATTTCTTTGAAAAAATAAGTTTTTAGAAATTAGAAAGTTTCCTATTAACTTGGAATTTGTCGACACTTCTGTTTTATACTTCTGGTATTTATGCAAATTAGATTAATATGACAGAAAGGGGAAAAGCAGATTAAATGTATAAAAAAATTCAAAATATTTGAAAAAACTCATATTATATTGTTTATACTTATAATCAAGCAATTTCTTTTGTAAATTGCTGGATTGTATGGTAAAGTACTTTGACCACAACAAAATTTTCTCAACAGAAAACAACACAGCAGATTTGAAAGAAAATGGTAATATGTTGTTTCAAAATGCATTTTATATAGTCTGAATTAATATTATAATTATATATGTATATAAAAGAGACAGACAGAGTGAGATACAGAAAATACTGAACTGCAAAACAGGAGCATGCTTCAAAACTTTGGTTGCATGTAGTGAAGACCTTATCTGAAGTTAATCTTCAGGTAGGTACAGAAGTATTCACAGATACCCTGTAGGTGTTAAAAGTATTTCATACTTTTTGGTTGTCAAACCACTCACCATATCTTACCTTTCTGTTAATCTGTTAATCAGTTTAATCTGGTAGAATAAATTTTCATATGGAGACACCATGTCAAACATGTTTGGATGCTCTCTATATTTATTTCATCCTTGCATGTTTATATATTAAACAGAAAATTTTATATGATTAGAGTTAAAAAAACTGCACCATTAAACATATTTCTCTGGAAAGGAACAGTATATTCAAATATAACATAACCAAATGTCCCCAGACACCCACTGATTCCAAAGATACTAACTGTGCTATTAATAGGAAGTTGCATTTCCTGAATTTCCTTTATTACAGCATTTATCCATCACAGTAAACTCCTCACTAATTTTTAATACTCTATTCATAGAAGTTATTTCCTTTCTTCCTATAGCACAATGAACAGCTAACATGTATTAGTTCATTGAGTAATTCTACTATACTACTGAGGCTCCCATGTATCTCAAAGATGCTAACTGATAGGATTCCCATAGGTGCTGAAAGACTGGTGTCAGTTTCTTCAACTGGAAATACTCATTCTATTACAAAATGAGGCAGCTCACATGAATTGACATGCATGAAGTTTCTATAAAGGCATTAACATTTATTTACAGACATTGTTCAATTATTAATAACAAAACCATTTCCTCACAAGCTTGCTTCTTTTCTAAAGATTTTTAACTGACTGCTCTAATTGCAATATTTCTCCCCTGATAAAATAATGAGTGGCCACACATTTCCAAACAAAGTATAAACTCAGGTAATTCACTTACCATAGGTGGCAACTGGTTTCAAGTCATGGTCTTTTGAAAGGTAAGTAAAGCCTCTTCCCCTGATTATTTTCAAACTAAAATAGAACTGACCTTACTATATAGATAAAACATTATTGTGCTGACAATAATAAAGGACCTAAACCAAAATGTTGCCACAGCATGAGATATAAATTATTATCTAGAATGTCCTGATAATGGCAGAGGTCAATACACTAATTAAAACTCAGGATTCATATCCAAATCAGGAAAAACAATCCTAGACCATTACACTGTGAATGCTAAATTTCACTGAAACAACACAATTCGGCATATGCCATTTGCAAAGTCCATAAAAAATTAAGTTTACATATGTTCACCAGAGTGGCAGACCACATATCAAAACATATGCGATAAAATCTTTTGTCCCTTCCTCACAATGTTTGTGCCAATCCAAACAATATCAGGTGCTGATATGTGCACGAAAAATTGATAGCTATTCCCTGCTGGTAAATAATCCAGTCACTCGTCTCTGCACCTGAGTGGAAACAGAAGTCTCCCACTGTCACTGATATGGTTATAAGGCAATTGGCTGTATAAGATGCTTCATAATTTGCAGATTATCACGTATTTTTTGGGGGGGGAGGAGGGATCAACCAGATCAATGATTGTGTTTAACACATCTATGGCATTTCCTTTCCATAACGACATCACTAATGGTATACTTGGATACATTCAATGGCTGAGAAACATCTCTGATAGATTGGTTTGGTTTATTTTAATTATGGCAAAGCAGTCAAGGCCAAATCTGCCTAAAGCGAGGAATACCTTTGTTATTTCTGATAGAATGAAAAATTTAAGGAATAGCTCTCAGATATTGTGACTACTAAACTATCAAACTCATTCATTGTTTTTCAATTTCTACTTCAGTTTCTATACTACTTTCTTGCTGAGAATCCTGAAAAGAAATTGTTTGAATAAGATCTGATTAAAAATTTTAATCTCTTAAAAAATGTGCATGTGCATTATATTTGAAAGTGACAGGCTATCATTAGAGATATATAATCATGGTCTAAAATAAAAGATTGATAAATTAAGTTAAATTATAAATTAAAATAAAGATATTATACTTAATAAATTATTTTTATTATTTTTTTTAATCAAAGAACAGCCTCAAATACTAAACAAATAAAGAAATCATTTCAGAAAAATAGAATACCACAAAAAATAAATGCTCTAAAATATTTTGCAAAACTACTATATTTGTCCTTTTTTTATTTTCTAAGTAAGTGTTGATCTACATCATATATTTGAATAATATTCGTCATAAAGTATAGCTTTTACTAGAATATGCTTGAAATGTGATAGTTGGAAATAATGAAAGACTAAACTAAACAAAATTAGCCTTAACTCAAATAGATAAGCATTTTTTTTTTAAAATCTGTGCCTTAAAAACTGTAAAATACTATTAAATAAATTATTAAAAACATTTAGTCGTAACAATTCAAAATTAAAATATATACAATATTCATAATATTATCTGCAGAATATTCATTTTGAAAATAATCACAGTAAATTTACACCAGAAATTTACTACAATTTATACACCAGAAATTTACTACAATTTAGGACCAAAAAAAATTTACTTCAGTAAATGATAATCTTTTAATATTCTTTTTTAAAAAATTTAGAACCCTCTTAAAGATTTTAAACAGGGACTTTTTATAAAAATTTATAAAATTTTAACATTTTAATATCAAATTATTATAAGCCTACATAATATAATTCAAGCAGATAAAGGGGCATAAATTAATATTTTACAAACCTTGCAAATAATGAAGAGGGAATTCAGGAAATTCTTTGATTATACGTCCTTTATACAATTTGCTACCAAAATGTTCTGTCTTCATGAAAGCAGCATATTTCGCAATTCCGATTTCATATGGAGAGAATTCCACCCAATCTGCCAAAAATAATACAAAAGACAATCTCTATAATTTAGCAAACATAAATGTAAATGATAAAATGCATATATTGCATTCCTTTGATTTTAAGACACACTTCATTCCCAGATATGCTCTGCAAAAAAAAAAAAAAAAAAAAAAAAAAGAGACAGTCTTAGAACTTGCATATTACTTGCATATTAGAATCACAGTTTTTTCTGAATTACTTTTTATTCTGAAGCAATAAAATTTTCCAAAGTAATAATTTATATATGAAAATTACTGTTGCTTACACAAATCAAATCCAATAAAAGGAAATATTTGCCTGACGTACTTTAGTGTTAGGTATTTATTTTATTTTCTTAAAATCAAAATCGTTATTTGCTGATGATACTGAAATAAAGAAGAAATACAGTAATGCAAATAAAGAATTAACTTTTAATTGCTGTGATAAACAATTTATACATAACTGGTATATTCAGGGCCAGCAGTCCTAAAAATGAAATTATACTTCATGAGAATAATTATCAGCTGCTTAATCACAGACTTATAGAAACATTTAATAACTTTAAAGGTAACATATACTCAATGTTTCTGCAGAAAACTAAAAAGTGCACACACAAATTTGTTGCTTCAAATGTGATGTTCAGTGTCCTAACACCTGTTCCACACCATTTAAGTATGTGCTGTACACTAATTAATACAGCACATACTTAACCTTCTAAAACCGGGCCGAAATTCTCATAATATAGCTTTCAGACCGGTGTGATCCGAAACAGTTTTGCCCCCTCTTTGACAATTTCCTAATGATAAAAATCGTTAGTCCCCCTCCATGGATGCAGTAAAATTTATATGTTTGTCGGACGCTGTCCCATAGTAGATGGGTTGCTAGATATGCGATTTTTTCAATGTTTATTTTGCTTTCATTTAAATGAAGTTCTAAATAAATAGTGTATAAATAAATATGCAGTATTGGATGCATATCCAGTGTACACTATTTATTTAAAACAAAATGTATGCAATGTTTATATTTCACTCACTATTTCTGATCAATCTCATAAATAATTTGTGAATTTTTTAACGTTGTTTTCACTCTTCATTTATATTTCGTATTTTCGTATTAGAAATTAGAAAACGAGAACAAAATTTTATAAAATATAATAAATACGAACTAGCTTTGTAAGTCTGCACCCTGGAATGCGATTTTTAATAACATATTTTCATTAACAAAATAATGGTAATGACTAATTTAATGAAATAATAATAATAATATTTATTACCATTAGATGATTAGAATGAAATTCAATACAATTAGATTTTGAGATAAACTTACAGCAATAATAAAACTTTACATAACAATAACAGATATTTAAATCTGTTTTCTTCGATAATTTTGTTATAATATAAAAAAGAAAATCTGAGATACATTGGTTGCGTTTCATCATTTAACTTTAACAAATATTACATTGGACTATCAGGCGAAGGAGGTATATCTTTAACGAGAATTTTTCTTTGTAAAATTGGCTTTTATGTTAGCTGAGAAAATAAATCTGTGACCTATACATGAAATCATCAAAAGTATTTTTCAGAACAGTTTTAAATGTTCATGAAGAATTAATTATATGTCAAATTCTTTTCATAGGTAGAAATTTCGTCTAAAACCATCGTTATATCCAAAAGTTGAAGTCTATTTCATTTTCAACTAATATTCTATTTGCACATAATATAGTTTCTAATTTATTTTAGAAAGAGTAATCTTTCACGTTTTCAAAAGAATAAGGACATACTGGGTGTCGACACTTACAATGTAGTAAATCTGTTTTTCATATTTCTTCCAGTAATGACCTGGAATATTTTCAAAGCAAAATTAAGAAAACCGTTTACGCCAAATTTTGCATAATGTATTTTCTCGTGTATTTTTTTATTTAAAGTGTAAAACTTTCTCTTTGAAAATATAAAAAATCATGAATGGAGCAAAATTAATTCACGAGAAATTAGTTTGAAATGCAATAATTCTATCATAATATGAAATGGTGGAGAAAAGTGCAATACAGTTTATTTATTCACAAATAATCCCTGCACTGTTGATTGAGAAATATAGGTTAGTAAATTAAACCGGTTATTTCAATACTTTTTCTTTATCAGTTTTTTTCATGAGCCCTTCAGTAGAGCGGTAAAGGTGGCTGAACACTTGTAGCTCGCTCGGGTTTGAATCCAGGCTAAAGCATTGGATTCATGGTTTTTGTGTAACGTAAACGCAAGCCAGCTTCCCTTAGAAAGTCCTCCGCGAAGGCATCCCTCCCCTTATATAGGTAATTATTGTGTGCTTTGATGTAATTCAGTAAGCGAACAAAATTAATCCAATCAAACCCGAAGAACAGGTTGAGTACATGTGGTGTTTTCCACCAGGAACGTAAATGCGAGCAATTTTCTCTTAAAAAAGGTTTACACGAAAGCATCCATCCCCTTAAGCAGATAAAGTTCGAGTGCTTTTCCGTAATCCAATCCTAATTCTCATACATTTAATAGTAAGTTGACATACACCTTATTACAGACAAAATAACAAGCTTTTTTAAAGATTTTTTTTTTATTAACTTGTCTGAATTCCCTTTATCTCTTGAGGAGTTTAAGAATTTCAGCAAATAAAACTGGGCAAAATTTTATACAATGTAACTGATGTTTTGATTCAATTAGAGTAACATGAGCTTTACTGATATTTAAACACTTTTTGGCAGATCTCATCCTAAAAGAGGGTTTAAAGATAAATTGATTTTATTTAATTTACAATCAATGAAAATCATTGATAGCAATCATTGAATGAAATCATTGAATGAATGAAAATCACAAAAACTATTATGCATTCAATTGTCTCTTATTTATCTCCTGATAAATCAGACGAAATTGCCTATATAATAGAAGCACTTTTAAAGAGTTAACAGTTCTTAAGGGTTTTATGCACTCCCAAAAAAATGTCAAAATAAAATCTTCTTATTCATAAGTATAAAAAGGAAGTAAACGATAAAAGCAGTTTTAGCTATTTTCTAGAAAGGCATTAAATCTAAAAAATTAATCTATTCTTATTTGCATTAAATCTGGTAAGCTTAAACAGCATGCAAAATCGCTGATGTTTTAATCATAGCAAAAGTCAGAACTAAAAAAAACTAAAGATGGCCTCTATTTGATTTTCAAGTATTTTGGCGCAAGGTGAAACCTGCGGTTTTTGCCAAAATGCAGCCAAACAGATAAGAAGAGGGAAATAATGCGTAGCCAGCGGCTATTCTGAGCAGCAACAATAGACCACCCTGAGATCTACAGATAGGCGATTCTCTAAAATAGGGAGGGAATGGGTGGTACGACAGTTGTACCAGAGCCGGCGTTAAGGAAGGTCATTTTCCTGGTACAACTGCTGTACCAGCCGGCTTCAGAAAGTTAAAAGTTTAAAATGTTTGTAGGAACATGAAGAATACAAAATTTGAAGTAAAACATTTTCTAACTACATAGAGAGAAAAATACAGAAATAGGTAAAGAATCCAGAATGCTAATAACTGTAAATTAGAAGGTCCAGCAATATTATAAAACCAATTCAAATTTTAAGTTCCCCACAGTTAAAGGATACTGACTATACAAAACACATTCAAGCACACCAATAAAATTGGACAGTAGAATGTTTCCATTATACTGCAATAAGAAGACAAATACTTAAAAGGCTCATCAGCAGAGGAGTGGTAAATTCACTGAAGGTTGGAAGTTCGACCTGTGTTTGATTCTAGGCAAATGGGCTTGTTGCATGGATGTTTTTGTGGTTTTTCCCATATGTAATATGGATACAAGCCACTTTTTCCTTAGAAAGTACTCCATTAAGGCATCCATTTCCTTAGGCATATAGTTCTTAAGTAAATAACGATAATCAAATAAACTAAACCAAAAACCCAAAGCTGAAACTCTATATATTCATAAATCTATTGCAAGAAGAAATAAAAGAAAAAAGAAATGCAGTCAAACCATTATCATTTACATGCATGTTGCATATGACTAATGAGCTTTTTCTATGCCAAATATAGAAGCTAAAGTGATTAGAATCATTTCAATTTTGGGGAAAAATTATGGATAAAATTTTTTTGCACTCTGCTTCATCACTGTAAATAACAGATTATTTTTGTCAGGCATTAAATAACCAAAGGTAAATTCAGTAATATTTTACTTTATCTGCTTTAGTCAATTTATATTTTTATGCATAAATTTTAGTTTTAAAAACAGATATTTATGTCAAGAGCGGAGTTACTTGTGAATTTATGCTAAGTAATTTAATGTATATAATAATTATCATATGTGGAAAAAAAGAATTGTTTAATAATTAAAATTTTAATAACTTAATAAGTCCTTATGATTTTTTAGAGCTTTAATTATTCATATCTCTTAGTAAGTGTGACAGTGATAATAAATTTTCTTTTTAATTCTTTTTTTTTTGGGGGGGGGGGTAAAAAATTCATAAGTCAGTTTTCAACTGAGTTAGTTAAAATTTAGTCTCGAAACTTTGTTATAGTAGGATTTGACTGTTTCTATATTGAAAATCAAACAGATGGAAATTTACAGATAACATAAAGATACAAAGCTTTCAAATATTTTCATCCTAGTAATAATATTACTATATAAATTTTTTCTAACATTTTTCTATGGCAAAAATGACTTTCCAACTCACCTTGAAACACTTTTGCAGACACATTGCTTTTTACATGCAAGCATGTATAAAGAGGCAGAGGTACTTGGCCACCATCAATTTTTTCTTGCTGCTGTGATAATCTAGCATCACACCGCTATAGAAATTAATAAACAATTCTATGAAAAATGAACAACTTCCATTCAAATATGAATAATAATTATATAAGGGTCAGAGTACTCTAATACTTTCCAGGTTATCCAGAACTGGAAGCTACAGTAGGTGCCAAGGAACATTGCCAGTGATTTAAATATTGAATACTAAATTATGATACTGGTCTAAATGACTTCTTTTATTGAACTACTTAACTTTATTTATCTGTATTTTTGTTGGTCACTGCATAGCTATTGCTTACAATATATCTTCAAAGTAAGGGAAATGGGGAGTTTTACTAAGCAAGATAACTCTCAGTTCATCTACTCTAAATCTGTAACTATGCATTTATCTATTGTGGTAATGAGATCTAAGATTTGATGACTTAAGATAAGATTGTCATGCTATAAATCAAGGTTAAAGACATAGTTACAATAGAGAAACAGAGATTTATTGTCAAATTATGCCATTTGATTGTAGCTCTTAGTTCTAAATGGAATGATGTTCTGAAACATCAAATTTATATTAATCTTTTTGTTAAAAGTACATAAACTATAGTAAATTAAATTGCACATTTTCTTTTGGTTTGTGTTTTTTCACAGGTAAAAACTATGGATAAAAGGTTTTAAAATATTTATAAACATAAATATCACAACGTAAGATATAGCCATATGCATCTCATAAATGATAACCTAGTTGTCAATTCTCTAGGTGATGGTAATAAATAACAAAACAAATTTGGCAATAAATAATGGATTTTTACACTTAACCTTAAATGCAGCATAGAAGTTGAAATAATATTTTTGAATTAATTTTAAACTGTGTAAAGTTTTAGTGTCTTTGAAATATATGTTTGAAATATATATTGATGTCTTTGAAAAATACGTTGAGCCATAAAGAAAAATATTTTTTTAAGAAAGAACAGAAAATTCAAATTTTGTAATAAACTATTTTTTTTTTTTGAAAATTTCTTCAATTATAGTTTGCAAACAGCAGCCATATATCAACTTAAGATATAATTGCATTAGTATGTTTAAATATGACTACTTACCATTATTAAACCTAACAAAATTTTTCATATATACAAAAAGAATTAATAAAAGAATAACACATTTAAGAATTAATGAAAATTGAGAAATCTATAGATCAGTCTCACAAACTACTCACAGAAATAGCATCTAAATTAATGTTAAACCTCTAGCTGTTCAAGGGTTTATCTTCAAAACCCTAAGCTTCTGAAATTCACAAGAAAGACTGATCTTGTTGATTTCCAAAATATCTGTCCAAATTTCAGTGAAGATTATTTTCCTTGCATGCTCCACTAATGTTTTAGGCACATTTCAGAAGACACAAATATGCATTTTTTAAGAGGTACAGGAAAAATATTATTGAATCTCACTTCCGCTCTCTTTATATATATTTATGCATGGTCTGGACAGTTGGAAGGTTAAATTTATGAGCAGATTTTAGGTAAAAACAAGCAACTGTTTTCCTATAATTTACACATGAAAAACTATAGGAACAGAATGTATTTTATAGCCACTTTGACTATATAGTAGTTATAACTAAATGTACTTTAAAAAAGTAAGATAATAGAAGGTAAATTTTCCTGTTCATATTTCAAAATACTTTATAATTTTGTAAATAAAATTACAGTGTAATTCCAACAAAGATATGAAAAATAACTATTTGTTTTAGAAATGCACTATTAAAATGCATAAAACTCTGCAATTAAAAAAAAGTTAAGCTAATTTCAAGCTGGATCTTACATGTTTTTAACATGATTACTTTAAGAATCATTTTTAAGTATGTTAAACAAAACATCAATGTCACATATATCCCAATTTTTTGACATCTTATATTATTAGTATAACATAGAATCTGAATTAAAGAAACCCTGAAACAAGGTTATCCTATTCAAAATTCTTATAAAGGAATTTTATAAGCCAACACAATCAAAAACTTATACAGACTATAAGCAGTTTGGGGAGAAGTTTATTATTGTGTTAGCTATTAGAAGTTAATTATTATTATTGGGAGAAGTTTTTTTGATGAAGAGTTTAAAAAAACATAAAGTTTTAAAATTTAGCTTTTGAACAATTTTTAATGTAGAACATATAAGTTTTGTACTCTAAAACAAGTTTTTCAGAAAAAATTATATCTTTTGATAACATACTCAGAAATTTAATATACCTTAAAATATTCCACAATACATTGACTACTATGCATAAAGTGAATAGACTAACTTATCTACAAAATTAGTACCAACAAAATCTGTTATTATTAAAACACTCTATCTCTTATTAAAAGGATGAGTTGCCCACAGCTATTCTTCAACATGGAAAATGAAAATCCAAGAGAAATAAAGCTTTATGTGTTATAAAGGAATGTTAAATAATCAATATTGACAAACCTGGATTCACATAACCACAATCATGTAGTGACTTTGCAAGTATGAATCCAGCTTTCTATGCACCTTTTTTTCATTTATTCCAGACATTTTATATTTTAATAATCAAATTAGATTTGCTCTGCTTCAAAACTTAAATGCACTTTTTTAAAAATCATTAGTGTATCCTGTTACAAAAATTATTTCCAGAATGTTTTTTATTAGTACTTTTTTTAATAATTTCTTATATTTTGTGTTTTTTAGCAAGAAATTTTGAGCCAAAAAGTTTAGAAACTTTTATACATTCATAACGATGACTAAAGCCTAAGAAAACTTAAGTGGTTAAGAAAAATGCTATGAAAGGTGTAGTTGAATTATAGTATACTTATTATTTTGTAGTGTTCTGATTTAATTGAGAAAGAATAAAATGGCAATAACACATAAAAGCGGAAATGCATTAAGATAATAGTAATCATAATTTAAATACACTTTTATTTCATTTAGTAGAAAGTTCTTTCAAGTCTATCATTAGAAAATTTTGGTTAAAAAAAAAGAACTAGTTAAAAAAGTACATTATGAACATGATATATTGCATTATGAAAATTATAACATTACCTGAGTAATAAAATCTACGATGCGAAAAGTAAAACTCGCAGCAGAGTGGTTAATAAAAATCATTAGAAAAGCAGCTGACTGATTCAGCTAAAAAGTACTTATCATGTACATCAATAAATTACTTACTTCAACAAATGAAATTCAGAAAGCAAATACTTGGATTTAAAAGCTTTAAACAGGTCTCTAAGAAAAAGAAGACTTCCCTAGAACCAGCAGCACAATATATGTGATACAGCTCAAAAGTCTACAGTGGTAAGATTAAGTAACTTTTTTTTTTTTTTTTTTTCAAATATGCGCATTATCTGTCACTGTAAATTTGTAATACAGGCTTGTTTGTTTGCACCCTCTATGGCACATAACTAGATTGCTAGCTGATTTTTAAAGGATTAATGTAACCAATCATCTACTGTGATCTCAAACTTTGAATTGTCTACAATCAAACAAGTCTCAAAAAATTTCACATGACAAAATGAAAGCTATTTGAATTAAAATATTTATTTCAGCATATATGCTAAAAATTAGGGAAAGCAGAATTTAAATATTTGTGTTGCCTAGCAAAGCTAAATTTTCTTTATTTTCAAAGCAAAAGAAATTGTTTTTAAAATACATACTCCTTTCAGTAAAGTATCACCAAGCAAGTGTCCAAAGAAGTCAGTGAAACTGACAGGTTGACCATTTCTATGCTTTTCTTTAATACTTGAGATATAGCGGTACATACAACGTGGTCCCAAAAGCCAAAATGGACTATGACGAATATTTGCTTTCAGTTCATCTAGTAATTCCCCAGGTGTTTTTAATGGAAATTCAGGATGTGAATAGAGAGTAGATAAATACCTAAAAGGAAAGTGTAAATTAATTATTGGGAGAATTTTTTTTAAATTTAACTAATTGAGCTGATAAAACCACAACACACTCAAAAACTTATTACTGATAAAACAAATCTTTGTCAAACTTCTGAATACTCCTTTGCAACAAAATTATAGTTCTACTTTTAGAACGTATACACACAGCATTTAAAGCTCTCAAGGTAAACATGATTAACAAATAGGTATTGGTTGCAGTTTCTTTATTTCTTAAAATTTTATTATATTAATTAAACATATATTATTGTATTAACTTATATTAATTTAATGTACAGTGCAAAATAATCGTAAATGCTGACTCATAATTTGAATCCACTAAGGTAGTACATGCGTGCAAAGTAATGTGGCCAGTGCAAGTTCCATTGTTGTCAACTCTTATAGAAATGAAACATCTAAAAATTGAAATAAAATTGTGTGGATCTCATAGGTAATATGAGATCATAGGTAATATAAGCCATATGGTATTATAAATGCAAGTGCCCAGCTGGTATAGTGGTTAGTAGCACTGACTACCATATTGATGGCCTAGGTTCAAATCCTGGAGATAGCATGGTTGTTGGTAAACATATAGTGTTTATGCAGCAAGAGGGCACTTAAAATACATGGCAAGCCGAAAGCCAGTTGATGATGCCGGAAGAGGGGTGGGAGACCTTCGGACTGCCTCACAGCAGGTTCCCCTCAAAACTGGAGCAGGAGCTTAACAGTTAGCCAGGTTCAGCAATACCTCAATCACCTACGGTACTACAGAGGTGCTGGTCTTGTTTGTACCTATACCTGTTGTTATAAATTTTGCGAAAAATAAAACACCTAAATTTTTTTAGACTAATTAGGCTTTTTTGGGAAAACATCTGCACAACATTAAAAGTGCTTAGATCTAGACACAAAATATTTAAATTATAACAGTAAGTGTAAAAGGGAGGCTATTTTAATTGTCAAATCATTATTTTACTCAAGGCAGCACTATTTTCACTTCTTATATATTTGGCACTTTTAATATTTTATCAAATAATTGGGATAAAATGACAAAGTGGCTTGGTAAGTTTAGTCATAAGACATTCAAACAGTTACCAATATAATTTTGAGTTATTCTTCAAAGATGAACAAACATGTATTCTGATTTTTAGTCAAAACTGGTTTATATATGTATATTTCATTTACATTTATCAAAAAAGTTACTATAAATTTATAATAAATTTTACTAATAAACGAAGATATCAATTTAAAATACATTACTGTCTGTCTATGGTAAGAACAGCTCTCGCCAGTTCTGCAGCTGTCTGTTGCTGTAGAAACGAGCCCTAACCCATTTTTCATAGGGGTGTCTTGAAGACTTACTTCTGAGTTTGCCACCTTGGCGCATTTAAAGATGATTTGGCGATATTCACATTTTGTTTTAGTTTTAAGTAAAATTATCATTGACCCTTTGCATAGACCCTGACATCCAATTTCCGAAAATGAAAATTCGATGGCGTAGATAAAGCTTTTGCAGTCAAGAAACGGTCTTTGATTTTGCCGTGTGAGGTACAAGTCGCTGAATTTGCCATCGCTCTAGATGTACGAGTAAAAATAAACTTGTAGGGAAATAAATTTGAAAATCCGTGTTTATTTTTGAAGAAAAATTTTAATTTTGTCATTTAAAAAAATCATGCTATTATTTTGCTTCTTTTTTGTTTATTTGTTTGCTTGCAAAATCATAGATGACATCTTAGAAATCTACTTGATTGCACCATTCTCTGTAATATAGTATAGACGCACTTCATAAATATAAAATAAATTTAATTTTTATAGTTCTCCCCTCTAGCTGATCTACCGTGAACATTCAAAGCAATTTCTTCAGTCTTTAAATGATGTTCTGCTATGTTTTTATTTCGAAATTTTGTGTTAATTTATTGCTTGTGCTTTAATAATGACTAAAAATTTCATCATTAAATGTATATGGAATTATCTTGAAAGTAAAAGCGTTTTTTTACATACCCATGCTCTCAATAAATACTTTTTGCGAACATTTCTTCTTTTCCCATACCATTAAACTAAACCAAAAGCTGGTTAATTTAATGGCGGAAGGAAGCGAAGGTGAATTAAAATCAAAACAGCTTTTTCCTTAATTACCAGTGGTTTGGGTTGGTTTATATGATTACGGAAAGCCCCCAGGGTTAAATGCCTAAGAGGAGGGATGCCTTCATGGAGGGTGCTAAATTGTGCGAAACCGATGTTGTAAAACAATTGTGTCAAAATACAATGTGAGGTCTTTCGATAAGAATTTTTTTTTTTTCCTGCGCATTCCAACGAAAATTCATTAAACACAAAACTTTGCACAAAGAGTCTTTTTGCCACGGGAAGTCCATTTTTTGCCTCAAGACAGGCAGTAATTTCCGCACAGATGACACTTTCTTTCCTTTGATGTAAAAGTCTTGTATTGTCTGCCGTAGAACGCATTTGTCAAAATCGTCAATTTCACACTTATGATTAGCAGGGCTTTTACATTTCTTTCCAAGTATATTCAGAAGTTTATTTTCACCCATTGTTGATACTTCGCTCTTCAAAACTTAAGGAAGAGGAACTACTAAAGAGTTCGCCGAAGCTTCAGAAGCGTAAAATTCTGCGACATTATACACGATTTGACGTGACTGAGACTTTAAATGTTGACCTTTTTTAAACTGGAAGGGCATTTTAAAAAATTGGCGATTAACAAAGCACTACAAAAATCAAGCTAAATAGAAGCGAATTTGAGCAAATGCTAGCACAAAAGATATAACAACGAGAATAAAAATAGCTAATAGTAATAATATAAGGCTTAAGAAAAGATGCGTGCAGCTGGAATGAAGCCGAGAAGATGAATGATAAACTTAAGCCAACAGTCGCCAAAAACAAAATAACAATAAAGCAAGCCTTGGTTAGTCCCTATTTGAAATATACTAGCCCTGTTGCTATAGCGACCGCCACTCACCAGACACCGTGGCGGGAGCTGTTCTTACCGTAGACAGACAGTATATTAAACAGTAAATTAACCGAAAAAATAACATATGAAAAATATAATGCAAGAAATATTGTCAAGACTGAGTGATAAAAATAAAACTCATTTAAAAATTATGCTATAATTATTAATTTTGAATTTACTAATTTAGGTAAATCTGTGAAAGGATTACTAAAGATACTTATTAAATGCTAGAAAGCAAAAGTAATTATTGAAAATAACTTCATTTCTGATAGTATAATAATAAATAAATAGTTTTAGATTATTAAATTGGGTCAATAACTTTATACATGGATTTATTTCATCACAAAATTTGCTGACTGTTTACAATATAATATAAAATTACCATGCAGATCCTGATAAACCAGCTACATAAGTAACACAATCTAATATCTGAGTGTCTACAAGTGCTTTCATAGCACCACCAAGAGATGTCATAGCACGAAAACCTCCTCCTGATCCAATAACAGCAATTACAGGTATCTTAAAATGAAATATATATATGTATATATAATATTTTAAAATTAAATTGAAGAATAAATGAGATGCAAATTCCTTTTTATATTCCTATGCATAATGTAAAATTTAAACATAGTTAAAACCATACTAATGTCAAAACTATGGAAACTTACAGAAGTGGTATAATTATAAAAAATATATTTTTATCAAAAAGAAACAAAAGTAAGAAAAATAAATTGAAAAATAACTATGCAATTGCTTTTCAAAATTACTTTTATCATTTTAACTCTTGCTAAAAATTTAAAAATAAATATTCTGTATAATAAACAAATCAAATCTAATAACAAAAATGGTATTTTTCAGTTAAAGAGGCACTAGTTAATAAATGCTGTTAGACTGCCTTAAATTTATATGCTACTGAAAACAGGATTAAAAAATTTAAAAAGTTCCTTTAAAATAAAATTTAATTACCATCAATAATTACATTTTCCTTTCAGAAAAACAACATGCAAAATTTTCAATTTATAACAAATTTAATTTCTTAGGTGCATACATGTTTGAAAGTATGAATATTTTTTTCCGGAATTTAAATCTTGACAGTTAAGTATTACACATATTTATTTGAATAGATATTGGATAGCACTTAAAGGCTTGAACAAAGAATGACCAAATCTATTTTTCAGGGATTTTAAACTAAGCAAACGCATCAGACAGATTTAACAGATGATGCCCATTGGAGAACTGGAGAACGACGTTTCTGGATATGTATATACTCTCACTTACAAAGCAGAAGTTATCTAATTCGCAAGGTTTTGTTTTAGATATAACCCAGAGAAAATTCAATTGCTTTCAGACGTCCAAAATCACTTTTTTTGTTTTTTTTGTTTTTGTTCATATAACAAAGTATTAAGCCAAGTTCCATAAAAATCGTGAGAAATTTTAAGAATAAGAAAAAGTCAGGAGAAATATATTGTAAATCGGGTTGGCGGGAGAGCGGTCGAAAATCGGGAGTCTCCTGCTTAAATCGGGAGAGTTGGCAACTCTGTAAACCCATTGAAACTTTGCAATAGCATAATGAGCATAGCTGGAACTTGGAATTTATTAAACAAAATGCCAAAGCCATTCAGATATTGAAAAAAACTGCACTCTGCCCTTATATTACAATCTGTGGCAAAATACTATGATATATGTAGATTTTTAATGAGTTTACACCAACTATTTTCCTCAAATGATGTGACATTTGCTTGTTAAGCTTCATCGGGAATGGTCGAACTTAATGAGAACATTACCCAAGATGAGCTATAGGAAGTACAGATGGAAATATGAACAATATTACTTTCACAAAGAGGCACAAAAGAAGGCATCATAACAGCCAAACCTTATTGGGACCCGAATTTCATATCCTTAGGTTTTGATCAGTCAAATGATCAGAACCTAAGGACACAAATTCAGCTTGCTAATTGTTCTGACTATTCTTCCATGTCACTATAGTACTACATATCATTATATTGTTATATATATTAACAATTCTGCTGCACTGTCTACGAAATATAAATCTTTAAAAATAAATTGTGTGAAGAACTAAGTTTGAATATCTGAGATGAGGAAGAAATTCTTCCATAATTAAAAGTTGTCAGAAATGGCTAATAAATGTTACTAAATAATGTCATCAAAACTGGAAGAAAAAAAAAAGAGTATATTGCTTTCTTACATGATATGTAAAAAAACAAAAATTATTATTTTATTTAGTTACTTGACTCTTTTTCTCGGGGGCATTTTCAGGAAACAAATTTGCTAAGCTCTGCATTATGAATTCCAGTCGATTCTTTCTGAATTCTTTTTCTTTCTCACATAAGGATAAACTATATCGCAGATCTGGATTTTGACTATAAGAAAAAAAATGCATAGCTTAAAAAACTTACATAAATTACAAAGTAGCTATTTGAAAAACAATATACAAAGACATTACAATCTGCTACTAAGCTTTCAAAGCTAATAAATCATGTTAAAATATAATGAAGACAGTTATAACTTGGATTAATTTATATATATATATATAAAGAAAGAAAGAACTTCTGTCCTTGCTTTTTTTTAAGAGGTAGTAAAACATTACATCCAATAAACATCATATAAAGTTCTTCAGTTCCCATAAAAATATTAAAAAATAGCCAGAGATACTATAATTACTGAATCTTTTTATGTCTGCAGCTGTAAATATATTTTAATTAACAAGCATATACTGAACCATTCCATAAACACTTTTTTTCTTTTTTTTTTTTACCTGCAGTGAGATAGCAAAATCCCAGTACAACAAACAATTTATCCAAGCATCACATTTAATGCTTCAATGAAATTTAAAAGTTAAAAGAAAAGATTTTGTACTGGGCTAATGGATACCATGCAAGTTATAAGATATGAATTTGAAACAACAAATAGAATTTTTCACTTCTCATTTCTATAAATATTTAAAAGAGCCATTTTTTTCTGTCAAATAGTCACCAGTAATATAAAAGGATCCTTTACAAGAATACATATATATTAAAAAATACAAAGGATTTGCACAAACAGCAACATCAAAAGATCTTTTTACAAAAATTGTTATGTGCTTTATGGCACAAGTAATAAGCTTTTTATCATGAGTTACTTCCTGGAAATTGAACTATAACTTAACAACAATATTGTGGAAAACTGACACAGTACTGCTATATTGATGAAAAAAATGAGTTAATTAACAAAATATCACATATTAGTACTGTTCTGTTATTGGAATCAGATTCAGAAATGTATGATTGTTTATAGTATATGTACATACACATACATTCATGTTTATATATAAACATGCATATATGAATACATACATACATTTCTGAATCCGGTCCTGATAACAGAACAGTACCCACATATTTTTTCATTGTGACAACAACCAACTTCCCATGGCATCAGACACTGCAAAAAGTAAGACTATCTGAAGAGGAATCTGAGACTCATCTGACATATTATTCCAATATGGCATTGCCAAATCACAATCCGTGTTCAGAAAACATAAATATTGTTATTATTATTAGTATTTTAATTTGGAATACAATGTTAAAAGAGAACTAAATTTATTCATCAGGCTGAAACACAACAGTTGTAGGTAGTGCATATCTAAAATTTAAATGAGAACAAGTTCCTTATAATAATGGTATGTATTATACAGTACAAAGTCCAAAATCTGGAATGCTTTAAAATCCGTAACTCAAAACCACCAAAAAAGTTTTTCTCGTAGGCTTTACCGCATGTGAATTTGATTCCCCCCTCCGCACATAATAAAACATCTGGAGAGTCCCGATTCTTAATTTCACTTTGACACTAAATAAAATACCTAGTTACTGAAGAAACAATCATTTTAGCATAAATTTGTACGATCAGTAATTTGGCTCCATTTAGCAGTCTTGCTTGGCACATATCTTGAACCAAAACATTCCACATAGATACCTCGTTGATCTGACGACAACATGGCGAATCATTATTTAATTATACTTTCCTTTCATCACCGTTATCAAAACATGACAACTTGAGTAATGACTCATGTAGTGATGCCTAAACAATTTTTTTATGTTAGTAATTGAATAATAAAAGAGCATGGTAACCTTTTATGTTGACATTACGTTTGGCGATGATTACAGATTTAAGTTAAATGCGCTAAAAAACGTTGACGAGAAAAAATTTATCAAAAATTTCTTTCCATACTCTAAAAATAGATTTGTTGATGATACTCATATATCCAAAGATTACATTAAGGGTTATTTGAATTAAGAATAGAGACTGTATCAGGTGGGGATATCTAGCACCGGCCCTCAATAAGCCTTAAGTATATGTGGGAATTTATTTATTCAGAACTCTGATAACCCTTAAGCATGTGCAAGAAACACACATAAGTATAATAAATAACTAAACTAATAGAATTCAGGCTTAACTGTCTCAGTGTGTGACAGAAGCAAGATGAAATTTAATGGAACAACTTGTCGTTAGTTGCCAAGCTCATGATTAGCCAAATATGTATAGCGAAGGATAGCTAAATTTGATTATGGCTAATTTTAAAGGTTTTTGGATATCACAAAACAAAGGTGAAATTTTCCAATTAACGGATTTTGTACATAAATTTGGAGAAGCGGTAATAAATGAAGATGATATAAAAGAAGTTTTTATATCATTAATGGGGAAATCTGTAATATGGCTCTAGATCCAGAAAATAGCGCTACCGATAGTGAAAAAAGTGACAGAGAAGTTACTGAAAACAAGAAAATTTCAATTGACAAGTTAGTCGAAATTCTCAAAACAGCAGATACAGGACTTCAACAATGTAATTAAACAAGAGATTATGTCTGTCTACAAAATAAAAGAGAAAGTATTAGCACAAAAAACGAAGCAACTTAAAACAACTTTATTGAAAGAAATGTTTAAATGAGGTAAACCCAACCCGGAACCCAATTTCGAACTTTGTACATATATATATATATATAAATATAATATAAACTAGGTTGTAAGTACAATACTAAAAAGACCAATTTTTGGTCAAAATCTTTTGCGCAATATGCTGCAAAATTAAGAAAATGAGAAGAGAAATTGTAGTTAGCTCGCCAAGAAGTTACCAGGAGCTGTGTCCAAGAAAACTCCATATTTAGTAGTTATGAAAGAAAAAAAGTTCAACAAGTTGGAATAAAAACAGTTTTTTCGGAAAAAAAATAAAAAATTATATTGAATGAGGTGAAATATTAGGCTACATGCGAAATAAAATGTAAATTATAAAACACAGTTAAATACATATCGTTGGAAACAAGTTAAAGGCAAAATATAAAACATAGTAAAAACCAATCGATGGAACAAGTAAAAATTAAAAAGTGGAAAATGGTAAATTAGCTCAATTCGAAGTCCACCCTGGCTTTTCAAGGGAAATTTCGGTTGAATGTCGAACCAAGCTAACTTCATTACGCGTTTCGGCGAAACAGACAATTGAAACTTTGCGTTACAAAATTTTTTAATTAATTAGATAAACTGTCCTAAAAATTTTTTTAGTCTCAATTCTCTGTTCCAATTTCCCAATGCGTCCGCTCAAATTGACACATTAAGGTGCATAAAATGTAAATGCAACTCTGATGTACAGCAATAATAAAAATACAAATAGAAATAAAAATAAAAATAAATAGCGGTCTGCTATTAGTCAAAATATACAATAACGTACGGGCTGGACCTGAAAGCTTAAAGAATTAAAACTTTATAAAAGAATCTGAAATTAAATTTAAAGGAAAGATAACAGCATGGGTCTTGTTAAGACAAAGAACAAAATTTTATATATATATATATACACACACAGTACAGAGTCCCTCATATATATATGGGGTGTTCAAATTCAAATGAAAAAGTATGAAATGACACTGTGGGTATAATTGAAGTCCTTATTCACAAGCAATCATCAGCAGCCTCAGCACAACTATCGTATTGTTTTATGAGCTGAAGCATGTGCCAGAATTCCTATGGCTGTGACAGGAGCCAGTCCTTCCCTGTGTCCTTCAGTTTGTCATCCAAGCTGAAGTGCTTCCTTCTGAGATCTTTTTAATGGACCAAACACAAAGAAGTTACAAAGCGATGTGTCCAGGCTGTGGGCTGAATGCTCAAGCTGCTCCCAACTTGAACTTGTCCATAACACTTGGTGTGACCTTGGAGATGTGTGGACACGTGTTATCATGGAGCAAAATCACTCCCTCCATGAGCAGGCCATTTGCTCTTGATGGACTTCCATAGGCTACAGTACACTGTTAATGGCTTTTCCATGTTCGAGGAATTTGATGAGCATCGGGCCTGAGACATTGAAAAAGACAGTGAGCAACACATTGTTTACTGAAGACACAGCTTTGAATTTTTTAAGGGGAGGTGATGACATATATTGTCACTGCATGCTGTCCAGCTTTGTCTCTGGCACAAAGTGATAGCCTCAGCTCTCATCACCAGCGATGATATGCTCCAAGAAAACACAGCGTTCATGATATCAGAACAGGTGTTGCAGTGCTAGTCCAATACACAGTTCCTTTTGAAATTTTGTTACCTTCTTCTGAACCTACTATGCAAACACCTTCCTGTAACCCAACCTGCCATGCACAACTGTCCACACTGTTTCAACACTGCACCCCCACTATCACTACCATCATTCGGATTGTGATATGCCAGTCACTTCTCAACCTTTGTCAATGAGTTTGGCTGTGATTATTGTGTTTGCCTGACTTAATCTCAATTCATCACTTAAACACTTCTGCCCTTCATGAAAATAGGCACTCTATTTTCTCACTAATTTGTTGGAACACGTAGTCTTCCCCCTATGCGGCCACCATCCGGTGATGAATATCAGCTAGTTTAACCCCTTCCACAGACAGAAATCTGATACCACCTTGCTGTGCCTCAGTCGGCAAATTTTGCGATGTAAATACCATGATGTCCTCATATGAACTACAACATCAACTGGATGGAAAACACAATTGCCTGCTTCACTCCAGCATCATGTACAGGTGCCCATACATGTGCATAACCACATCCAACACTACATTTGCATCCCTACATGTCTCACTACATTATGACAAAGCAGCATATTCAAATTTTAATCGGTTTGGTTGTTATGAGGTTCATACCTTTTCATTTGAACACCTCTCATATATAATATGTGATTAATAATTTTTATTTGTTTCTCCCATATATATATATATTTTCAAACTATTAATACCTGTTTGCCAATTACCTTTTTACAAAAAAAATTTTATTGCCAGCTTTACTATTCAATTGAATAATATAATAATTTCACATTTCTCTGCCCATATTAGTATCCTAAACAATTTTTACCCTAAACCATGGGATAATTTTTCAAATAGTTTTTTAAAATTTCACATAATAATTTCTTAAAAATTCAATCCTTTGCAACTCAAGTGCAGGAATTAATTAATTAATTGATATTTTTTATTTATTCTTAACCTTATGCATATTTGAATATTGAATTTTTTTATATTTGAATTTTTTAGAACCTTCTTTTAAAACTAACTTTAAAAATTCACATTATTTATGAAATAATTCATGATATTGTGTAAATAAAATTTAGGATAGAAATATTTATTACAGTTTTGAAATAAAGAATTATACTTACTCTACAGCTAAAAATAATTTTAAAGTAATTTCAGTAACCTAATTAAAGAAACAAAAAATAATATTACAAAGGCATTTATTATATTACTGACCACTGAATTTAAAATTGATATAATAATTTTTTTACTTACTTCTCCAAACTTCAAAATTACAGTTCTTTCTTCATTTAGATTTAGAATATTTAAGTTTATTTTTTCACAGCCCATTTTTTCATCAATTGTGTAATTTGCATCCATTAATGTTATTTCTAAATTTAGAACAAAATAAAAGAATAGAATAAGCAATTAATTAAAAAATATTATAAAAGTTATGTATATATAAATAATGATTCCACATTATGAAGCATAGCTCTTTCTGGTATGAGAAGACTTATTTCCAATGATTGCAAATTTAGCTTTAATTTAAAAATATTTAGTCAGATCAAGTTTTAAACTTAGGCATTAAATATTTTGAATAAATTCAAGCAACATTTTTTTAACTTTGTATTTCACTCAAGAAGACAAATTTTTTTAAGAGTTCTGATGTAGTATTGAGGTATATATGTTTTTAATTACTTATTTCAGTATTATATTATATTCAGTATCAGGTGGGGATATCTAGTGCCGGCCCTCAATAAGCCTTAAGTATATGTGGTAATTGAGGTTTTCTTTTCCCGGTATGTATTTAGTTAACAAATTAGGGACAATACGATGAAAACATAAATATACATCACAAAGTAATTTAATTCAAAATAATACCAAGCATTACAGTGAACATAATTATGATTATTTTTCAGTGCATTTTACCTATTTTGCTTCAAAACACAATTTTAAGACTAATGCAAGTGGTGTCATGTATAAATGATGCTATGTTATCATTTACATTGCATAGGTAGAAGCAGAAAACCTCCTGGGTAAGATTAACATCTGATTGCCTTCACAATGGATAAAATTTCACTTAACAATGTTTGCTGTAAAACTTTCTTTGCTAACTTTTAAGTCTTACGAGGTGTGACACACACACACAAGGGAAAAAAAATATGAGGCTGAGTGTGTAGCTTGAAAACAGAGTGGAGTTGGCAACAACCGTTTTGGTGATGTCATGCCACACACCTGGCCAGTTTCGACTTAACCGATAACGCCAGTGTGAGTGAACACATGCAACTGCATTCTGCCTGAAAAATGTCTAATGTAAAAACTGAACAGTGAATCAATATCAAGTTTCTTGTGAAACTTAAGAAATCAGCCACGGGGAAAACATTTCAAATGTTAACGGAGGCTTATGGAGATGAAACTTTGTCTTGTGCATGTGTGTTTGAATGGCATTAGTGGTTTTTCAGGGAAAAGACACAGTGTGGAAGATGATGAACGTGCTGGTCATTTGGTCCAGACTGTTAACACTACTGCATTGAATTACTAAAAAGACTTCAGGAAAAAAAAGCCACAGTTGGGGAGTGATGGATGGCTGTTGCACCAGGACAATGCACCCATTCACACGGCCCTAACTGTCAAGCAGTTTCTGACCAGCAAAAACATATTGTGATGTGGCATCCTCCTTATTCACCTGATTTGGCTCCATGCAATTTTGTTTTCTTTCCTAATGTTAAATCTTGCTTAAAGGGAACTGATTTTACCTTAATTGAAGAGGTTTAGGCAAAAATGGAGAATCTCCTGATATGCTTATCTTGCTGGAATTTTGCAAGAATTTTATCAGCTTTTTCAGTGATTGGACGATCAGAGTATAACTCATCTTTTACACCAAAATTACCAGAATGAAAGCAAGCAAACCATTTCTATGTAAAAGATTTTGATAAGGTATCTTCACCATACACAGCACACATTTTTCACAAGCCTGTGCAATGTCCTTCAGTTTGTCATAATAATATTGCACAATATAGCGCAATTTTTTCCTTACTTTTCTCCATCATCAGATGCATACAATTTTCCCACTGCACTACATTCGATGTTTATACACTCACAGTAATGCTCGAAGAATCACCTTTCCAACAAGCATTTAATGATGTGGCTATGATCTGCGTTTCCGGAATTATTTGCTATTGACGCCCATCTATTGGGAAAACTGCCACGAGTTTTTCCCAGACCCAATATTTTAGATACTGAATGATGGCACACCATCTTCCAATACACAACTGTCAGAAAATTCTGTTGTTCATAAGGGCAAAACTTACAGCAGCAAAATAAAAGTTAAATAATGAAAAGATGTTTACTCCTAGAGTAAAGATAGACATATATTATATTACATTATAAAACAGTTATAAGTGTAAGGGTTTTCTTACCTAATTCATATTCCTTTTGCGGATCAAGAACAAAAGTGAATTCTTCATTCCAAGTGGGACTACTTGTGTTATTAAAATGCTTAGTCCTTTTTGTCCCATTTGGACTCCCAGGAATCCTCAATATAACATATGGATCTGGTGTATCAACTGAAATGAAGATTACGCAATTTAAGAAATATACAAAAACTAAATTACTCATAAGTTTATCATTAGTATCAACATTGCTATAACTTCTGTTTACTTATATTCACTCAACTCCACACTAATTATTTTTGGGGAAAACACTTCTTGACTGAACGAATTCATTGCAATTAAAATTTCAAGAGATATAATTATATAACCATAACACAATATCGATAAAAAAATCATGATTCAAATTATGATATATTTAATAAACTTTCAGTATTTCAAAAAGCAGGTAAAAAATTATATTGTATGCTAACATTTATTTACATGAAAAACCATTACACCTACATATAATTGTCATGCAAGTTAAAATTCATTATTAATTTTCAGATAATACTTTTTCACTTTGCCTCATACACAAATTAAAACTAAAGCCATCTCACTCAATAAAATATTGTAAACATTTAAATATTTTTGTAATTATGTACATTTATTTATAATGTTGCATGTTTTAGTCCCATACTGCATGGTTTTGCTAATTATTAGCATAAACTTAAGTTATTTTTGTACAGTACCTACCTTGCTTCCAATGGGAAAGATTGTGCATCAAGTGAATACTCATATATGTTCTTAGCACGCTGTTTTTAGTTACATTAATAGCTGTCATGTTAGGTGTTACCAAATTATTTCAATATATTTCAGAAATGACATGATTTTTGCTGTTTTAAAAATTATCATAATATTATACATACGTGATAGAAATAGAAAGAAACAGAAAAATATAATTTTGTCAAAGATTAAATCTCTGGGTATATCAAATTTTGTATTACTGTTTAACAATGCTATGCATTCATTCAGACAGAGCCTTGTAGTTCACCTAGATAAATCAGCTGACTGCTCATTGCTCATAGATTTTGCATTGTTTGAGTTTTTATGTATTGTTTATGTTTCATGTATTATTAAGTTTCATGTAATATTAAAATGTCAAGTTTAATCAGGTAGGTCACTGACTTGCATATCTTGATGAAAAGCAATATGTGTATGAAAGAAAATTGCAAAAAATATACAGTTGCCACACCAAAAGTGCAATGCAGAATTGTGCTTCAACAAAACTAATAATTGTCTCATTGCATTTTATAGTGTGTTAAAAAACTGTTATTGTGATTTCAGATTATCATTTGGAGTTAAAATTCCTCTTGAAATCATCCCCAAGACATTTAAATTCTGAACCAGCAATTTTTGATAAAATTTAAGGTGCCAAAACTGTTTTATAGATCCATTCTCTTGTTTGCAATTCCTACTGTGCAAGTGGTAGCAATGAGAAAACAGTTATCCCTATGCTTAAATACTTTAACAACAATCATGAGTACCTTTTCATTAAAATATGTAAAAGAAAAAAAAAAAAAAAAAAAAAAAAAAAAAAAAGACAATTTTGAACACAGCAATTTTTAAATATAGGAAGATAACTAATCAAAGTATGAATTTTTGGTCTATATTTTTAAAGAGATTTTAAAGCTATATGCTTATTCCTTTTTTATCATACAGATCTCAGTTCCATTGTCTTTTATATAAAAACTGCACAGTAGACTAAAACTTGAACAAATTAATTTCATAAACTGGACATCTAGATTACCAGATATATATGTGCTACCAGCTAATTACATTTTCTAAAATCATTCTTCATTCAGATATTTATATTTTTAAGAATAACAGTCTACAAAACTTTAATGCACCTTTATTTACAGAATGAAGCATAATCACTACAAATCTCTTTCTGCTCAAAGACTTTAAACATCTCATACAGCTGAAAGACAAAATATATACTTATATCTTTTGGCTGTTAATGGACTATGCACAATATATCCTTAAACATTCTTTTCAGCCATGAAAAATTGCAATATATAATGAGTTTAATGCTCAAATTTTAATTTGCAATTCAACATTATTTGCAAGAAGTAGGAATAAAGCAAAAAATTCATTTTTCAAGCATTAAAATATTATATTAATACTCATATATGAAATAGATTTAAAATGAAAATGGTACTTACCTAAATCTCCAACCCATCCTTTTGTTATCTTATGTGCTTCAACAACAGTCACATTTAATATGTTACAGGAATCAGGAGTCACCTAATTAAAATGAATGGAGATGTTTATTAAAAAAAATCTTGGAAAAGAATATTACAGTTTATTTAATAAGTGACATTAGTTTTAAATAAAGTAATCTGGCCAAAACAGGGGGGAAGAATTAAATAATTTAAGATAAAAATATCTTTAAACCATAATTTTTTTTTTTAAATATCAAATAAAACAAATCTTTTAACAGATATAATTATTATATTTAGCTTTTTCTTATAGAAATAAAACTTTAAACATTTTAGATACATTGTTGTGTTTGTCAAGAGGCTTACAAAAATTGCAATTATTTTATATTTATTAATTTATGAATTTTATAAAATCTTAACCCTTTATAAGGTTAGTTTATAAGACTGTGTGAAATATACTTCCCACCAACTTCATTAATTTTTTAATTTCAGTGGGAAGTTATTTTCCCACATATGATATGTTCTGTCATCCGTTAATAACTTCAGAGGATACAAAAAAATACCAATAACGGGCTTTGTTCACATAAATGGCCGTAACAATGAAGGTTATCGTGGGTTCAAGAAGAGATGCCTACACTGGGGAGCCATTTTGCCTTGTGTGTTATTGATAAGTACAGAAGTTCAAGTTTATGTCCAATTCTTAATAGTAGGTAAAAGTTTGAATTTTGATCTCTAATGGAATTTTTAGTATTTGACCTCTAATGGAAATCTCTAAATCTGTTGTAGTCAAATTATTTTTTGCACTTGCCATGGAAATGTATAAAAAGCAGAAGAAATATACAGCAGAGGAGGCTGTTGAATTATTTTTTGCTCTCCCAAGTGATCCTGAAGATTCAGATGATGAAACAAATGAAGAATTTTCAATCAAGGAAAATAGAGATGTTGATGATCCACAGCCAAGCACTAGTAGAGGTACAAATAAAGCTATCAAAGTGGACATGAACCAAAGAATTGAATCAATGTCCAGACTTATAGAGGTTCAAAATGATTCTAGTGACACTGAAGAATACAATGCAAATGATGAAGAAGACAAAGGCTGGTCTGATGCTCCCAGGCATTTTGATTCCCATGTTATTTGTATGGATAGAAAATAGATTATCAACCATAGTCTAACACGAACCAGTAGAGAAAAAGACTTTTTTCCCAAATACTCAGTGAGGAAATTTTAGAATATGCTGTCAAGCAAACAAATTTATATGCCTTTACTCTCTGGAAAGTAAGTACAACAGATTTAGGACCTCAAGAACAATTACATTTTTGACTTTGCCTAGCATGACAACTGATTTCTGGATTTTGAAGTCATAAACACAAAGGACAGCCTGTAATGTGTACATTCAGATGACGACATAAATGTCACAGAAGCATAGTCAAAAGGAATAAAATGAGGGGAGTTCTGTTCACACCTGTGACACAGGATCTAAGCTACACCCAATTAGAGAAGCTAAATTTACGTATGCGTGGATGTGTCTACAGCTTTCCCGTTACACTTTTCCATTCAGGTTTCATGTGTTCGCTCTGATTGGTCGACGCTTATCCCAAGTTGGCATAAAGTTTAAAACTTTGAACTTTATACCAAGAGCCCTAAACCAGGTTTTGTGACGTAGCACAGACTGGTTGCCTGGCAACGCCAGCTCGTCTTAAACCGCTTATGGCCTTTATACTGTTATCTGAACACAGTTTTAGTTTTCTGAGCAGCAAGAAAACTGTTCCAGATGATGTACGATTGACTAAAGTCGGTGACCATATGCCAGCTTTACAAAAAACACATATTTGTTGCCGTTTGTGCTCTAATAAAGCCCATGAGAAGAGAACAAGATATGCTTGTATAGCCTGCAATGGCTCACTGTGTGTTGATCTCTGTTTTCTGATATATCATGGAAAGTGATGTTTATAAGTTCTTAAATTTTTTAATACAAACTATATCTAAATTAAAATTTCTTTTGTATATTTTAGTATTTGCAAATTATATATTATGAATATCATGTAATTTGATATAAAAAGAAATATAAAACGTAAGATGTCCTACCTTTGAATAGTTCCCAGTAGGTGGCGAGAAACATACTTCCCACCAAAAAAAAAAAAAGTCTTAAAAATCAAATTAATTTTAGGTAATAAGCTAAACAATTTTTTTTTTTTATAAATCCCAAAAATAATATCCCAAAAATAATTTATAATCCCAAAAATATTTTAGCATAATATTCCTAGGAAATGAATGGCCCTTTAAAGGGTTAAAGCAAAGCAGTCCTGCAGTAGGCTGATAAAAGCTTTTAGGCCAAAGAGGTTAATCAATATAATTTTAAAAACACAACAAGCAATAAAGTATCACAGTGCTGATAAGTTAAATTATAAAAAATAATATTTGATAAAAGCACATGACATTTCTTTTAGAAAGATGTACCTTATAATCTTAAAATAATAACACGATTTCACGTCTCTCTTTGAGTGACATGGCTATTAGGACTTACTGATGAAAAGCTGTATTTAAACATTTAGAAGCTAGATTTGTATATAATTATATATTTTACTGTTTGTCTTCATAACATTATAAGTCATTATAAGATAGTAAGAACATTAAAGAAAATAAGAAAACAAAATACCTTAAATAATAAATTAATAGTTCTATACTAAGGGACTGGGAAGTTTTGTTATTAGATAAAGAGCAATCAAGCTGCTCAGTATTTAATTACTAGATTTTTATAATTACTTGTTTTTATCTTCATTTGCATAATCTTTCACTCATATAGATGGTGGTTAGATTAACAAAGAAAATTTAAAAAATAAACATTTTAAATAATAAGGTAATATATATCAAATAATAAATCTCATGAATGAATAAATGTTGTCAATCTGCTGAGAAAGTAAATAAAAATTCAGATGATAATCAGAATGAAAAATTTGAACATTCAAAAGAAAATCTTTACATGTTTTACTATGCTTGAAATAAATGAGTGTACAGATATTATAACCATTCTCAGAATTATTTTCTACAGTAGCAACAAAAGCTAATATAAGTACACTAGAAAAACTGATTCATGTCTGCATTTGGATGTTTATTGTTGTTTTATTCACTTAAGCAGTAAACTTCTAATCTGCCTTGCTTATTGCTTTATGACCCCATTTCAGTTTCTTTCAGTGCACAAAAATAAAAAGCAAACATATCCAGTGCATAAATTATATTAATTTTAAATTTTTTACATTTTGCTTCAAAAGGAATTTTTTAAAAATAGACAATTCTGACTGAATTTGTTTGAAAAAAAAATTATACGATTTCAGATTTGAATTCCAGAAGTTACTGTTAAGTAATTAAATGCCAAATGAGTAAAAGGAGTTAAAATAAGTTAACTGGTGGACATTGCTCAAGGCCAGCATCAGACCCAGCATGATCGTACCAAGTGGGAAAATATAGGGCAGCAAATTTTTGGAAGCTCTTTGCAGCATAATTTATGAAATGCAAAGATTGCATTGGATGGCAAAAGGACTAGCATTGGACCTGAAATTATTTCGATGTAAAAACAGAAATTTAAGATATTGAAAAACAAATTCAAAACTAAATTCTCTTACTTACATCTATGAATAGTCTTTTTATGAATTCTAAAGACTGAAATCTTCTGTTAAATTGATTTTACGGAATATTACTGTACATCACTTGTAACATCCCTAATGCTTTCAAGCTAGCTTTGCCCAGAGTGTAGATTACACACTGGTAATCCTCAGACCAAAAACTTCAAATATTGAACTGAATATTAGTAATTTGAATGTTCTGGATACAATCTAACCTTAAAAATTCTCAATTGCTTGCAGGATTTCTAAGACTGAATATTCTCTCTATATTCCTATTTCAAATAATGCTATAATGTAAAATTATTTGATAGATAATATTCTAGTATCTTCCAAGAAATAAAGATATTAAAGAATAAGTGAATATTTTTTAAACTTCTTAGCAACATTTTTAACAAAATAATTTGCTATAACACAAACTACTGATACTGGAATTAGTGAAATATTTAATAAAATTACAAGTCTCTCAAGCAACATGTATTAAAAAAGTAACAACAGAAGTATGAATAAAAAAAAATTAAACATAAATTATAAATTCATTGATTTTACTAGCAAAGGGATTTCATTAGTGACAAAAGAAATTAATAGCAGAATTTTATATATTTTACATCTACAATGATGTTCAAAATTGTATTCAAGTATACAAAAATGATATTTTATGAAGTTGCCAAACAAATGTATTTATTTTTTCAAGCAGGTTACAAAAGGCAAACCTGATTATGATTATTTTATACATTTTGTCCTAGCCTGTTTCTGAAAAGCAAATACTGACAAGTCATAAATGACTAACATTGTGCCAGTGCTTCACCCAAAGTACAATTTCCTGCAAATTTCTGCTATTCTAAGATTTAATTCCACAGCAGCAAAGTATCATTTGAAAGAATTTTTGAGGTGAAAAAAATATTTGCTATTTAGAAGATAATGAGATGGTTATGGAGGTAGGCAGACAGCTGAATGTTTCAAGGTCAGCCATCTTTGCACTTTGGAAGCAATTTAAAGATTCTCGACTGTAACTAATTGTATAATAAAACCTATTAGTTTCACATGGTTAGACTTCCATGCAACAATTCTGAAATAATAAAAATTTGCAAAACCAAAAGAATATAACAAATACAAGGCTTTGAAAGAATTTGTTTTAAAATGTTTTTCAATAAAATTTGCAATAATAAATGAAATTTAGAAAAACACACTTCTTTTTCAAATTTACTTAGACAAGATATTTTGAAACATATGAATGTGAAGATATCTAATTCTTATGGTTGATATTGAGTAATAAAGAGTGCAGCACTATGTGAAACATTTTGGTTTCAAAATGATAGTAATTTTAATAACATTGTTTTATGTTAATTAAAATTAAAAAAGAAAACAAATCAAACTTACAGAAAAAATCATATCTGTACCACATCTGGAAACAAATAAAAAAAAATTAAAATAATAAATAAATAAACCAAAACAAAACAAAAAAATCCTAAATAAACTATTTGGTGTTTTGCAAAATCCTCTCATGCAAAAGAAATAAAATTATTATAATTTAAAGATAAAAAATAAAGCTTTATTTTCACGCCTATTAAAAAGTAGAACAGAATAAAATATTAGTACACAGAACGAAACAAAAATTGTCTTATTATTAACATTTGAAAATTCACATGCAAAAATAGATACATAAAAGATAAAGAAAAGGATGTTGAACAAAGCAGGATGCTTCACAGGATGTGCAACTTCCTGAATCATGTTCAACTAGAAAAATTATTATGGTGAAAAAATACTTGTTCAGTTTTAAAAAGTATAATTATTCTCAAAATACTGTGTATATACATAAAGATGCACACAAATATACATAAAGATGCAAAATATTAAGAAAGATAAAAAAAGTTTTTGAAAAATTAAAATTTTTGCTGTAGTTTATCTATACTCATTTTGAAGCTGCTAAATTTCAAGTGCTTAAAACATATTTGTTACAAATTTAATTTACCCAACACTTTTAAGGCAAATAAAAATATATATAACATACACAGAAAATTTATATGCATAAAATTGTGCATGGCAAACAGAATTTGGTTCATGCATTATGACTTCTTATGTACAATACATAAGTCATAATGAATCTAATATACATGCACATAGAAACACTGAAAACAGTAAGAAGGCAATTTATAATTTTTATAAATAAATTTTATACTGTGTGTGAACTGTGCGTGTTTACAGTGGAGAGGCTAAAAACATTTTAAATGTGTAAATGATAACAATAATTTAATTCAACTGAAATAGAAATAGTCTTTATTTAAATGTGTTAAACATTGCTTCTAAATGTATTATGCTCCAGTTTTAAAAGTTATTTCTGAAATATACAGTGACAGTGATATTTTTCACGATATATGAACAGAATGAAGCTAAATAAATTATACATAGTTATCTACTTTTGAGCTCAGTTATTGCATTTTATTATAATGCTATATGATTATTATAATATATTAAATGCTATATGACTATTTTCAAATTATATGAAGGATGGAAGAAGAAAATGCAAACAATTTTGGCTAAGTCAACCTTTAACATTGATTTTTTTAGAAAAAACACTGTTCATTTCAAGGCAGTCACATGTTTCTTCAAGAAAGTTAAAAATTATTCTATGAAAATAATAATATGCTTTCTCTTTCAAAATATAAAAATTTATTAGAAAAAAATAAAAAATAAATAAAAAATATCTACTTTTTTATTTATTTTATTTTTTTAAAAACAATTTTGAAAGAAAGAAGTAAGAAATGTTCCTGAGGTAAGAGCCTAGATGCAGCAAGAATATATATGAATTTCTTTAGAAATGAAGGAAAAGGAGTATAGGCAGTGCAGTAAAATTATGATCAGCCCATTTTGTTTACATATGCTGTCCCAGAAGAAGAGAAAAGAAAATTCACGATAAATCATATTTAAAGTTTAATTTGAGTAATGCATTGCATAAAGATGACAACAATTATATTTCTGCAATTTAAAATATAAAAAAATCAAGTGAAATTTTTTAGATATATATCTTAAAAAATGTGATCCTAGGCAAAAATCTCTGTCCGTTTCAAGTTTTATGTTATTCAACTTCTTTGTTTTGTAACCTAATTTATTTTTTTAAATAAAGAAGTTTCATTATTTTAAATATGAATTATTAGTGTGTTATATTCATGATAAAAATTAATTACAAAAGTTTTTTTCTTTAGCAAATGAATAAAAAAATCAATTTGTCTTCCACTTCATGTCAGGTCTGTTATCTTGAGATTATTTTACCCCCAATTAGTTTGTAAATCTGCCTAAAAGGGACAATACCTATTCAGTGACATAGATAAACTAGTGAAGCTAAGTTTGACTACTTTGAATATGTATTACTGCCTTTAGGCAGATTTACAAACTAATTGGGGGTAAAATAATCTCAAGGTAACGAACTTGACATGAAGTGGAAGACAAATTATTTTTATTGATTTGCTAACTATATATCTAAAAATTTTCAATTGATTTTTTTTTTTACATTTTAAATTGTAGAAATATATTTACAGTCATCTTTATGCAATACATTGCTCAAATTAAACTTTAAATATAAATTTATCTTGAATTTTCTTTCTGTTCTTCTGGAGCAGCATATGTAAGCAAAATTTGAAAATGGGTTGAATCCATTGTATTATACTTTTATCTATTTTTTTTTTTTTTTTTATTTATAGCATAATATATTGCAAAACATATATTTGAAAAGAATTAGCACAGAAAAAGCCTAAGAAAAAATATGAGAAAAAGCTAGCTAAACCTGAAAAACTTGCAAGGAAGGAAGAGGAGGAACTTCACTGATTGGTTGTTCAGACAAAAGCCTGCAGAAAAAAAATTATTTAAAATAAAATAAGTATAATTTATACAGCAAGTCAAAAGCAATAAACAAAGAGTGATAGCTATTTAATATAAAAAAATATCAGAGAAATTATTTTAAATGAATTCAGATTTAAAACCTACCATTATGATTCAGCTATTTTTACAGTCAAATTCATTGCAATGGTGAATTTATTACAACCATTACTGAGAATGATGGACAGCTTCACAGTAAAACTTTGGAAAATTAGCGATTTCTGCCCATCATTTATACTTTTTTAATGAAAAATTGGTAAAAGCACATTTACGGGTACCCCTTGGTGAAAATTGGCGGTACATGGATATCGAGTTTGTGCAATTCTTTGACTTATTTTGGCTTTGTGTAGTGGCAATTTTAGCGCCAAAAATCATCGCTACACAAAGACAAAAAATAACAAGCACAAACTTGGTATCCATGTACACATTAACCTATTTTCACTTAAAAAAAAAAAAAAATCACAGAATTGCGCAAACTAGGCATTGTGCGCGCTCTTGACTTTATATATCTACACGTCAACCTATTTTCACTTTAAAAAAAATCAGAAAATTCTACATTCCCTTGACTTTGTACACATCGATATATTTTCACTTAAAAAGTCAAAAAGCCCAATTCTTAGTAAAAGTATATTTATGGAACATTCAACTACTCAGGTAACCATAAATGAAACAAGAACTTGCCGATAAACGAAACAACAACTTGGCGATAAATGAAGCAATAACTTCACGATAATACTTCAGTCTACTCTAACCGAAAAGTTAATGGGCACAATAAAATAAAATTCTGCCTAAGTATTTAAAACACATAGACGTTTATAAAGAAAATATTTATATACACATATAGCAAATAATCTTCCTCTTTATCAAATTGCTTTTAAAAAACTACAGGAAACTTTCTGCATAAAATAAAATGCAATATTTTCACAACCAATGTGAAATGAATAAATTCATATTGCTTACGAAATAAAAATTTCAAAAATAATAAAGAAAGAAAATAATTTCATAAATAATAAAGAAAGAAAATAATTCAGAAATAATAATAAATTTCAGAAACAATTTAAGAAGTTCATAATGTTTACTTAGGAATAAATAAAAGGAGTTTTAGAATGAAATCCCAATAAAATGCTCCTATTATAAGCATTAATGAAAATCAGCTTTCCAATCATATTCATTAATTTACGTGAATAAAATCTTAAACCAATAACATTTAATGAATTTATTATGTACATGGGTAAAAATTAATGACATTTTTCTGATTTGCATTACCACATAATATTTTAGCATTAAAAAGGGAAAAAATAGCATGCATTTTTCTTCCCTTTTTTAAGCTAATTTTCTGATTGCATGCGTTGAAATAGGAAGCATTTGTCTAAAGTGCAGAATCGCCCACTTATTTGTTTGGCGCTTTTTACAAGAGTAAGAAGAATTCGATTTTTGTCAATTTTAAGTGAAAATAGGTCGATGTGTACATGGATAAAGTCAAGGGAGTGCACAATGGCATTTTTTTTTTTTTTTTTTTTTTTTTTTTTGCAATTCTGGGATGTTTTTTTAAGTGAAAATAGGTCGATGTGTACATGGATACCGAGTATGTGCAGTTCTTAAAAACGCGCCAAGCAGTGGGCGATTCTGCATTTTTCTAATTTCATTGCAATTCTCTCAATTTACTAAGGCGTCACGAATTCATTTTTGTGCAATGTATAATAACAAGGCAAAATACAAATTTCCACAAAACGAACAATTTGCTCACAATAAAGTTCTGGTTTGCTTTCATCAAAACAAATATAAATAATTTATTGAAACAATATTTATCTTTATATTTATCATCATTTCATAATTTTTTCCTCTGTATAGTATTTTAAAATTCAACTCTTCAACAATAAATTAAGAAAATGAACTGATAATGAGAATGTAAAACTATTAATTTATGCTATTTCTCATGAATAATTAATATACATGAAGACAATCTATTCATAGCATTTTCCAGACATCTTTAACTTGAAGTAATTCCTAAACAGAAATGAGACCAGGGGAATTCTTACAATTGATCTGTTAAAGCTTCGCACTCCATCCCGTCCACACACATATGGGTCTCCTTCATAACTCTCAAATCGTGCGCTATCGCTATGTTTATTTTGTTTTTCGCGTCGCTACGGTTACAAGTACGATTAAAATAAAAGGTACTTTCAGTGCAGAAAGACTTGCGCAAAAAGTCTCTCAAAATGGATATCTAATATCCACACCAACACTCCACACACACAGATCGTATTTTATTCTCGAGTGTCAAGATGAAGAAAGAAGATTAAAATAGCCTCCTTGCTAATATCAGTGGCGTAGCTAGACGCCATTCTTTGGCAGTTGTTTGCCACCCTCTCAATGCACACCGAATCCATAAAATGTCACAATAAAGGCAACCTCTCAATTAATTTTTTGAAATAAAACTTTAATTTCAACTTCTTGAATCTCTCTTTTGCTTACTTTTCTGCTAGCAAAATCAAAGAACATATATCTGAATTAGAGTTTCAGAAAACAGTGCTTTCTTTTACTCTGCATCAGGTGAAGACCATCAGAAAAACAAAATGAGCAGTGCGGGCAAAATAAGACGAAAATATTAAATCAAGCGGCCGTAATCAGTCGATGAAATATGTGAGTTTCAGGTGGAAGGTCAAACACAATGAACAGAAGAGTCTAGTATGAGTAAAAAAAATGTTAAGGATGGAGAATGTCAGGTGAATATTTGTGTATCCCTCTAGGAAAGGAAGAACATCTAAAATAGTTGACGCAGTTGCTAGGATGAGAGGGAACTGAATAGAAGAAAGTTCTGGCAAGCTTTTTTAATATAATTTTGAATTTCGTATACTTCGAGATCACAGTGGATATACGAATTTGGAATGAGCCAAGTCGCGTTGATAATCTGTCTGAGTGCTTTGTTTTGAAGAGCTTGGATATGTTGAAGGTGAGGTTTGGTAGGGTAGCTGCAGACAGAGTTAGCATAAAGTAATGCTGGTCGAAGTATAGAATTACATAAGGTAAGTGTACTTGAAGTGGCTATACGATTTCTTCTGCCAAGAATTAGGCGCATTGTTACAAGCGTGATATTAATGTTTTCGCACAGTTTCCCTAAGCTGTTTCTGAAAAGTCAAATTTTTATCGAAAATGGCTACTAGATAGTTAACTTCGTCAAATCAGCCAATTTCTTTATTAAGCAAAAGAGGTCTTAGTTGTGTGCAATTTGTTTGTCCTATGCAAAAAATTATTGGTTTTAATTTTTCAATATTAATTGCAATCCTCTAAAGACTGAACGAATTTTCTAGATGGTTGAGGTAATGTTCAAGAAGGACCCGGATAACTGTAACTGTTGATGCTTCGGTCATAATTGTTGTATCATCTGCGAAAAGAGCTATGGTAATTTGTGGTCTTTAGGAATGCCGTAAGTGTAAATGTTTTATAAATAGATAAATAAAACGTTTTGACCGTTGAGGCACTCCAGCGAAGATGTTTCTCATAGTAGAAACAGTATTACCAATTTTTACTGCAAAAGACTTACAGATAAAAAAGCAATAAGACTTATGCAATGATCTGGACAGTTCAACTTGATGAGTTTGTAAGTAAGACTCCGGTGCCATACCCTTTCAAAACCTTTCGCAGTGTCAACGACTACGGCCCGGTAGGGAATATACAATTGAAACTGTCATTAATATAGTTGATGACACGAAATAGCTGGTGATTCGTACTCTGAAGATGAGGGAAGCCGAACTGTTCATCTGAAATGTAGGACCTTTGTGGAATAATTTGATTAGATGATATAGAATAATTTTTCAGCTGTTTTAGAAAGAGGCCTGAGAACGCTACTTGGACGGTAGTGCTGTGGAAACATGGAATTTCGAGGTTTTGGAAAGACGATGTTTAGATGGCTGTTTCCATATCTCTTTATCTCAGCGTCGCGTATACATAACTTCAAAACGGAACAATTTTTTGAATTTTTAAATGCGAGTGGATGGTGCTAAATGGTAACGGGTTCCACATCGGTGAAGTCATGTGGCTTTTGACCTTCATGCATGAGCACCAGTTTCGTTCTGTGCTTCTAGTTTTGATAGATAGTTTGGTGTAAATACACTGGGAACCACAGCTCTTTAAATTAAACGGACACAGGCGTGTTTGTTTATTTCGTTAGGAATTTTTTTTTTAGTTCAAAGGGGCTTTATCCCTAAAGGACTATAGTTTTCGTTTTGCGATTTTGCGTTGGTTCATTATTTTTGCGTTGGTTGGTCCGTTTCACTTTTCAAACCTGTTTGCCACCAAATTTTAGAGTCCTGCGTTATATTTGATGAAATCAAATAATGAAAATCTGCGTAAATGTACGTGCATATTTATCGCATTGTGATAAACCAATGGTACATAGAGCCATCGAATTTCGAATGGACGTAATTCTACTGCGAATATGGGCATCTGGAAGTCTCAAATTTGAAATTTGGAATATTTTTATTATAGATTGCATATTTTGTATAACTTATTTTGTATAACGAATTTTTGATTAATAAACTCAAGGATTTCAAAGCGAGCAATGGCAATGTTGTACAGAAAAAAAACATTTTTATCTCCAGCGTGCAAGACTCTGTATGGGAAATTCTAATGATAACTTAAAACTTAATTTTGCGATATTGCTCTAGAACTGAATTTTATTGTTTAAGTGCGAAGAGCGTGATATTTAATAAGTAAAGCTAACAGACAAAATGTTAAAAAAACGCCCCCTTGGACGTAATTTAAGGGGAGTTTGAACCCCACAACCTTCAAAAAAAAAAAAAAAAAAAAAAAAAACTGTGATTTCGGATTTTTGCATTTTCAAATTCTCTACACTTTTATCTTTCTAAAAATACTATTCTTTAATCTCTATGAAAATTAGAACTGTAAAAAAATCTAGTTTTAATTTGTCATCTACTGCTTTGATCAATGAGGATTTTTACATAAAAACGCGTTTTTCTCCAAACGTGATTTTTTTATACTCAATGTACCTTTTCTTAGGAACTACTGCTCACAGGTATCTAAACTTCTTATGGCTTATTTATTAGGCTCCCTAATATTTACTGAAATGAGTTTTTTGTAATAAACTTAGAAAAAAAAATTAAAAATTTTTTTTTTGTGTGAGGAAAGTGCTAAATTTTACTATGCCTAACAAAATATCCTGTAATTTACTCTAAAATTCAAAATGTTCCAAAAGCTCATTTCAGTATAATCAGATAGGTATACTTTAATTACAGAAAAAATTTCAAGTTTGAATCTATAGCAGATTTTGACAAAAGGAACATCGAAAATGGCCAATTTAACATTGTCGGTATAGGGGTTTCTGATACCCCTTAAAATCTGACACCTTTCAGATTTTTGTTATTACTATTATTATTATTTTGGTCTTCGTTTTATTCTTTGCGTTTTTCGTTATTAGAACGTGGAAAAGTGCATCCAGCTTAATGTTTTCATTTATGTTTTTTTTTTTTTTTTTTTTTTTTTTTTTTTTTCATTAGGAGAATGTGGAAAAATGCATTTAGCTGACTATAACGGGTGGTGTAACGTAGTCGAACTTCCGTGATGGAAAAACTCAGACCAACTGTCCTTTTTACTTCCTCGTATGAAGTAAAAAAGGAAGTACTGTAATCGCGAAGAATTTCGGGTGTCATATTTCAACAAAAATATTAATTTTGACCGCTATCGAATGCAATTTAACGATGTTTTTGCCTGACATCTGTACGTAAGGTCAGGATACAGGACTCGTTTTCCCCAAACGAATTATAAAACTGATTTAAAATGGATTCAAAAGAAATTTTTCTCGTGGCGGCTTTACGTATGTATTCATCTCGCATAAATGAAAAACGGGTAGCCTCATAACTTTGAAATTTTATATATAGGACTGCTATAACATGCAGATGTGCACCTCCTATTTTGGTTGCAATATATATATAACTATACCCATCTATCGCCAAAAGTATATAACTATATCTATCTAGCTCTCTCTCTCTCTATCATAATAAAAGAAAGGAAAAGACGGAGCAGTGTTGATGCGTACGTAGATCCATATCGAAGAGGAAGAAATCTGATTGCGTAGTATGCTAATATGTTGAGTTCGTAAAGAAAACTTGGCAGTCGCGGCAGTTTTAATTCCATTTTTATTTGTAACTGATATTTGTGGCCACAGTTCACTTGGCACTCGAGTTGTGCCGATTCAAGAACATTTATATTTTTGATATTATTGCAATAGGATGCAGCATAGCGAAATTACTTCCAAGCAGAGCAGAGAGCGAAGCTGAAGTGCGTAGTTATGCAAGATGGAAGCACACAAAGAAGAAGGTTTTGGTTTAAAGTTTCAGTTCCCAAATAATACTTCATCAGCGATGGGCAGGCTATGCAAAATCGAATGATCTAGAAATGACGCAATTCAGGGAGATTATTATGATGTTTAAAACAGAGAGGAAGAATTAAAGAGTTTACCGTTAGTTTCGATTACAATTTTGATTGACATATGTTTTTTTTCTTATATATATCATGCATTATATGTAAGAAAAAAAAGAGCATGTAAAAGATTAAATTAGCAGCGTAAATTATTTTCCTTCTCTATTCTACAAATAACAACTTCTTTCTGCACTGCGCCATTTCTAGATTAATCCATGTCATATGACTCTTACATAATTCTGATGATGTAAATGCAGCCAATAATAATTTTACAGAAATCCAATCATATCCATCATTCCAATCATTTATCCAATCAAAATGCATTGAGAACCAAAACTAACTCAGTCTGAGTCTGAATTAAGATTTCAGCCTGAACATAACGCATTTGATTTCTACGCTTTGGCCTAGCTGGACTTCTGTCTGTCTGCCTCTTCTATTTTACAGTACATTTATCTAAAATGTAAAACATTTCGGTACAGGCACAATTAATGTGCCAACTTGATTGTGGTCGCAACATGTTTGCTGAAATAAAAAATGATTATTTAATCTGCCTTCGCCTCCAATTTCCTATTCATTATGGATCAACACTTCTGCGCCATCAAAATTCCAACTAGTCATTATTTCAGATTAATTGAGTCTTAAGTTTGTTTTCAATCACATATATATATCCACCCTGTTACTACGCTCAGTGAGCTCAGTTTCTTTATTC